AGGCATAACATCTCTGATCACAGCTGTTGATCCCCGGTTCATGAGTTTATGGGTCGATAGGTAGGGTCCAGGTATGGGAGCTGCCTCCCTGGCGTCGGTAGCATTGGTGCTCAGCACGGAAAACAAGATCTACGGAAAACAAATCAGCGGCCGCCGTTTTTTCCACCATCTCTTCATCTCTGTAGCATCCCGAGTCACCTTTCCACTCTTCTTAAACTTCTGTTTGACAATGTTTCTCAATTGGGCGGAATTAAGGGCAGTTGGGTGGATTGATGTCCTTTTCGAAGAAATCTACCCTGTTTTCTCGTTACCACTGTTTAACTTCTCCGCTGTAGTGGCAACTTGCCAAATCAGGCCAAAAATTTACAGGTCAATTGTGAGTGAGCCTTAATGTACGGAAGAATATGTTTTGTCAGGCATTCCTGCTTGTACATTTTGGAATCCATAGCCTTGTTTGTCACGAAAACCTGGGTTTTTTTGTCCGCAGCTGCAAATTCCTTGCCAGATCATAAGCTTTCTTGCAAATTGATCGGCAAACACGAATTTGAACTTGCTAGGGACATCACCTCGACCAGTGGCTTTGTAGAACTTTTGTCCGGGAAGCTGCCCATAATCCATCTTCACGTACGTTTCGTCGTCCATGGGGATGCATTCTTCGTACTTTGTAAGAACCTCATTGTACAACTTCCGTGCACGTCTTTTGGCCACTAGATTCTGCTTCAGTGTCCTGTTTGATTGCTTACTGGCCCGAAAAGATCGAAATCCTTCTCGCTGACGAAGCCTTCTGACGGTGCTTTGGCTGGCATTGAATTTCTTGGCGATATCATAATCCGACAGCCCCGGGGTTGCCTCAACTGTTCTCAATATCTTCAAATGCAGCTTTCGATCTTTAGTTCCACTAGGACGCTTGCTATGATCCGATTGATAGTATGCCGCTCACGGAAACGTTTGAGAACACTGCACACGGTAGATTTAGCCAATTTCAATGACTTCGCGATTTTTGAACCTGACCACGTCGATTTTTCGAAGTGGGTGTCCAAAGTCAATTTTCGGTTCGTGGCTTCCATTAAGTATAACTTGTTTTGAACAAAATGAATCGTGACGAACTTCTCAGCACTAAAAGAGGAAACATTTCAAAACAAACTGCTGTCAAAACAATCCAGATCCGACCGCTAAGAGCACAGCGGAAAAATAAACAATGCGTTCAGATATTAAATCCGGAGTGATTTGAGATTTGGGCGTAATTGTATTTGTTAACAAACAGGTCAATCGCCGATTTTTCGTGAATAAAATCTCAATTTTATAAACAAACTATACCAAATGATAGAAGAATCATACCTCTACCTCATAGTGTTATTAATTTTCAAAATTGAGACTGACGTGTTTGTTTACAAATGCATTTACGCCCAAATCTCAAATCACTCCGGAAATTACTCATACCTTACCTTACCAATCAGGCTAAGGCCTTGTTGTCCTCTGCTGTCCGAAGAAGTCGTCTCCACTCTACTCGATCCATGGCCACAGTTCGCCAGCCTCGTAGTCTGCGAAGGGTCCGCAGGTCACCTTCTACTTGGTCGATCCACCTTGCCCGCTGCGCGCCTCTTCTTCTTGTTCCTGTTGGGTCGCTTTCTAGAACCATTTTCACTGGGTCATCGTGCGGCATTCTTACGACGTGCCCAGCCCACCGTAGTCGCCCAATTTTTGCAATGTGGACGATGGATGGTTCTCCCAGCAGCTGGTGCAATTCGTGGTTCATTCGCCTCCTCCACGTTCCGTCATCCATCTGCACTCCACCGTAGATGGTACGCAACACCTTCCGTTCGAAAACACCAAGGGCGCGTTGGTCCTCCACGAGCATAGTCCAGGTCTCGTGGCCGTAAAGGACCACCGGTCTAATCAGCGTCTTGTAGACAGTCAACTTCGTGCGGCGGCGAATTTTATTCGACCGGAGCGTCCTCCGGAGTCCAAAGTAGGCACGATTCCCTGCCATAATGCGTCTTTGAATTTCTCTGCTGGTATCATTTTCGGCGGTCACCAGTGAGCCCAAATACACGAACTCATCGACCACCTCGATTTCGTCAACTCAAATTACTCAAGCTTTAGGTTTTAGTCGCTGTCGGCGAAAATTTAAATTTCTAAATTTGTTTTCCAATTTTTAGCTAAAATTACGTACAGAATTGATGTTCAATTAGCCCAAAACAATTAAAAATTGTTGTTGCACAGCCTTTTTCATGCATGCTGAAGCTACTAAGATCGTGAAACAACTTCAAAAAATATTGTACGATGAGCATGAGCATGATTGACCGCCCACGGTTGCTACTCTGTTATTGCCAGATCAACTGTAATTACACAGAGAACCAATAGACGATGCTTGTGGGACTAGCAATCATCCTCAATGTGTAAAAACTGGTGATCTCAAACTAGGCAATCCCAGCACTGGCCGCACCCGAACGCAGGTAAAGAAAGGAATGGGTAGGAATGTGTTGACGTGACACTCGTTTTGAAAATATTGTACGATGTGTACATAAAGTGAGAAACACCTGTTTTGTCAGACTGTCCAAAATTAATAAGAAGACCACAATCTAGGTTTTATAAATTTTGGACAGTGTGACAAAACAGGGTTTTCGAACTTTTTGTACACATCGTACAATATTTTTATATAGATCATAAAAGTACCTAAACAATAGTATTGTATTTGTTTTTATGAAGTTAACTTCTTACGAACAACAAGACATAAATAATTGATGAAAAAAAAATTCATATTAAAATACTTTTTTATGGATTTGGAAAGAAACATTTGTTTACAGCTTATTTTTAGTTTTGGCTGTGCAATTTTTGGAAACGTTGATCCCTCAACTCTAGGCATAATTTTTGAAAACGTTTATAATGAGATATAAAATCTTTTATCTTATGATACATGGGTCAGGAAAACTTTAAATTTCATAATTCAGGAATTAAACGTACATTGGTTTGCTTAAATACGTTGAAAACAATACGGATCCACCATGCGGGTGAAATATGCAGCGAGGGTGATTTATAGGGTCGTTACCCAATAAAATTCTTTTTTTTTTACATTGTTAAATCGGTTACATTAATGCCATCATCATCACTAACACCAAATCCCACCTTCTTTCGATTCATTCAATCGAAAAATCGCCGTGGTGACACAACCTGAACCACTTTTTCCGCGCTTCTTTCGCTACATTTCCTCATTGCCATTATGGAGTTGTATGGGAAAGAAGGTGTGAAACCCGTGCAACTGTATCTCGTTACGGTAGATGACATGATTTTCTTTTCCATTCCTGCTCTTGCAGTTTTTTTTTTCATTTCTTCTCCATCGTCACCAACCTGTTCATGAATTGTTGTGTGTCTGATGGGTAGGTATTTAGCAAAGCTCCAGTATCGACGAGCAGAAACAAACGATGAATCTTTGCCGTCAGTCGTCGAATGAATGAATCTGATGGCCACGACCGCGGGCACATCTGAAACACGTCAAGGCTGTAACAGCCGATGATAAGAAACAATACAATATAAATGATTCAATCACGATTTTCCATCGTCTTCGTCGGCAGTGATGCGATGAATGCTTGCTCGTTGGATGAGAGAAAATTATTGCTCGATTGTGTTAGTTTACCTTTTATCGGTCGAGCTGGCCGGTGTTGATGTTAATGTTCACAGTCAAGGTTGGAATCGTCCCGGGAATTGACAGTTTAGCGCCGCGGGATTTAGACACTTTGATTAGGGTGAATCGAATTATGCTGAAGACTGCTAATTTTCACAGGTACAGCTTTTCTGGAGGTACTTTATCTTTACCTTTGGGATCACCCTAGTCTCAATCGGTTAACAATTACTCACACAAACGACGCGCACAGAGCCATCGTGATTTTCTGATTCTCATCAATCAGCAAAAGACCTCGGCCGAGACCATGATTTTCCCGGACAACAACCATCCATTACGTAATAGCACCCATTTCTCTCGCGTGGTGCTGAGAGTAGATAATTTACGACCATCAACAAGTTGCATTCCATTCCCATTACAATTCATCACTTAACGATTCGAGGTTTTCCCTCACCAGTGTTGGTGTTGCAGTGCACTTTCATTAATGATTTATTAAGCTGTGTAATTTTTTTTTGCGTTTTGATATTTCTTTGCACAAAACCACGCTTTGTAGAGCCCCAGTCGATAACGCGCAGAGGGAGTTCAACTTATGAGTCATAAAGCCGGAGATTGCTATACCCAAGGGCATCACATGATTACGGTTGGAATAATGTTTGTATAATGTTTCCGACTAATGAGGTTGGTCTGTAGGGTCCCCGTGGTAATAATTGAGCCATTGGGTTACATTTTTAGATGCGTAATTGGATCGGCGCTTGAGTTGATGTGTAAAACAAGTGCAACCCTTGTTCTTCCACCACTTGATCCAAAATGTTTGTACATTTGCAAAACCAAAACTTACATTGTTAAGCCGTTCGTACGTACTTGTGCGATTAGGTGTTACCGTTTCATAACAGCTGTATTTCGTTGTAGAAATGAACAACTTTCAACAGGCAAGCCTGCATTTGTGAAGAAACCACTCCTCAAAGAGGCTGCTGATGAATTTGAAGAAGATCATTGTGTCTTTTGCCAACCAAACTTGCTCCGGGTGGCGGAGGGCCATCGCTTTTGTTTGTAAATGCTGTGTCTGTTTGGTCTAGAGCTTCATGTTTTTGGCCTAAATAATACTCTTTCCCTTTTGGATTGCTACTGTTGTTGTTGTTATTGTTGTTGTTGTTGTTGTTGTTGGGTACATTTGATTTGCGTCGACTGCTTTTTTTCACTTCGCACATGGTTAATTACTCGTTCGTTACCTTTAATGGTTCTCTATTTCGCTCGCTATCTGTGAGTCTCTTGCCAACCGTTTCTGCTTGAGAATAGGTTCAAATGTTTCTTTCCTTCCTGCGCGTAGCCCTACGAGATTGCAAGTTCTAATTGTTTCTTTTTTTTCTTTCCTTTGTTTCAGATAAATTGCAATTGGAAGTGGAAGTTGAATTTTTGCGTACACACCGGGGGAGAGCTCGGTTATGTAGCCCCATAATGGTTGTCTGTGACTAAAGGTGAGTTTTGATTCTTGTTTTCTTGTTTTCTATGGGACTTTTTTTTTTCAAGGTGCCAGAGGCATTACGGCGGCAGTTGTTTCAAAACTGTAACATAGTGAGATTTATAAGTAAATTTGCAAAAGATCTGTTACATTTTCCGTAATAAAACTAAATAGATAGAATTTTCAGTGAAAACACTACATTTCGGATAAGATAAGATTTTCGTCCCCAAACTAGGGGTCGCTATTTGAGGTGCCCTAAATCACATCGAAGATATTAGAAGGCTGAAACGTTAGAGGTCAACATGAATTTCAAAGTGGTTCAAAGATATTGATCTTGAAATTAGTTTACTAGGGCAAGTCCTGCTAATGTTTGACAAAAATGAGAACAGCAAGGATCCGCTATCAAAAGTATCACATTTGCAAGATTTCAATATGCTTCATGTTGGCGACAGCATGATTCATATTCAATTTAGAAACGCATGAAGTCATTCACGCGGCACGAACTCGAAATCGCACAGTGGTTCCAATGTCTTCGATGGGCGGAAACAGTTCAAGATCAACAATTGAAATCGCCTTACCAGCTTTTGCAAACAACGGCCTTTTCTCGTGAATTTGAACTCATCTACGCATACTAACAACACTATCGGATACGGTAAGATTTCCCCTACCTGATGGTATACAGGGTTTGCATAGCTGAACTCCGATTCACGATAAAAAGTCACAATAATGTTTGTTTACTAAAGCTGATGAGCACTTTTCAATTATTGATCTTGAATTGTTTTAGGTAGATAGTGTCTAGGGAGTTCTAAATATCAACTTTTTAGTTACTTGGGGTAGACCGGCACAATGTTGAACAAAATTGTAGAAAAATTTAGTTGAAGCAACTTTGCTGAAGACACCAAATGTCTATATCTAATATTTACTGGCTAGTAAAAAGTATCTTAGGGGTTTGAATCGGTTTTTATTAATTTAATTGTATATAGATTGATTTCTTGTACATGATTTATTCTAAGCACTTACAGAACTTTTGATGGTGCTATCTCCTTTTGCTGGAAACTTATAAGCGATTTTCGTTTTAAAACATACGACACGTAAAGCATCACAGCAAATCTGGGCGCAGAGATGTGCAGCTATAACCTAGCTAAAAACAGAACTTGAGGAGAACACGGAAACCGATTCCTTCAGCGGGACAAGCAATAACAAGCGAAGTTATACGTAGCTGTTACACACTCAAAAGCTGAATTATTTATTGTTTAATAATAATTACATATTTCACAAGATAGAATATAACATTTATTTACAGCTTCGGTACATCACGAGAAGAATGTTAATTTAAAACCTTTAAAACTTTCCATGTTACATAATCTAGAAAATTACTAAATGTCTGGGAAATTGAATTTGAGTCCAGCGAATAGGTAGTTTCTCCAAGTTGAGATCTCAAACATCTCACTATTGTTACGCTTTTCAGTCTATTGCTCTATTTCACTGTTACGGTTTTCATAAATGTTTAGCCCCATGCATCTTGAACTTCTGTGTACGGGATTTTGAACAATTCAAGACCAACAATTGAAAAGGCCTCATCTCCATTTTGTAAACAAACCTTGTAAGGCCATTTTCTCGCGAACCGAAGTCCGCCAAAGGAAACCAACATAATGAACACGTAGGGGAATTTCTCCTCTGTCCGATTGTGTTTTTAGTTTGCGAATGTAGGTTTCGGTTTGTGAGAAAATGGCCTTACAAGGTTTGTTTACAAATTGGAGTTGAGGCCATTTCAATTGTTGGTCTTGAATTGTTCGAATCAACTAGATTATTTCTTTGGAACTTTGCTTTGAAAATGTCTCAATGATTTCCTTAGGATCAGTCCAAAATGCCCTTTAGAGCTACTTTCAGGATTTCCCTCAGTAATAATATAATTTTCACCGATATTCCCCTACAAATTTTCACCATAACAGTATTGAAATTCTGTGCACAAAATTTTAGGTAGAAATTTCTTGTAATTTTCACTACTTTCGTACTCTTAATGATTCTCACGAGGATTTGCTTCAATTTCTCTTTATACTTTACTTTCAAATTCCTTTAAAATATTCCTCAGAAATCCCTTGGTAAACTCTTTACAATTTATAACATCTTCTTCTTCTTCGTCTTCTTCTCCGAATGTCAAGATTAATGTTTATCGCATTTTAGCTAATTGCGTGCCATTTTTGCATTAGTACAATTGTGCCCAGGGAAGTCAAGACATTTTCCAACCCGGAAAATTCCTAGACCGGACCGGGAATCGAACCCAGCCACCTCCAGCATGGTCTTGCTTTGTAGCAGCGTCTTTACCGATTGAGCTAAGGAAGGCCCAAATTATAAAGTATTCTCTTTAAATTTCCTTGGATTTCAGAATCACCTAAAAAATCTATGAGAATTTCCCTCCGAATTACCTTGAAAATCATCTCATATGCTCTATGATTTATTTTTATTTTTGTTTGAATTCATTTGTAACTCTCTTTAGAACTCCCTCGGAAATTTCTCCACAATCTCCTGGAACGCTTTGGAAATATGCCCATAATTCCTCGTCAATACTTCTATTTGGAACCCTACCGAGAATTTCTTGAAATTGCGTCAAAGTTCTTATGAATTCTCTCCTTGAAACTATCTGCTAACTAGCTTGAAGTTCTTCAAAGACATGTTTGAGTTTCCTTGGAGCTCTCCTGAGAATTGTCTCTGATTGATTGATTTACACACTTAGTTTTTTTCTACCGAACTCGGCTGTGCAAATCTCGGTAAAAAAAAAAGTTTTACTGAGATCTCAGCAAACATTTCATTTGTTTGCTGAGGTTCAGCTAAGCATTATCCGAGACTCCCCAGACAACCAGAATTCGTATACCAGCGTACAAATTGAATCGTAAATTGCTACTGATAAAGTCGACGTCGCATACAAGAATGAGATGCGCCGTATAATGTTTAGATTAAGTCACAAAGAAGGCAAATTTTCAACCTATTGACGATGATTCATTTTTATATCGTACCGTATCACAAATAAGCTCGGATGAAGTTGTAATGTTTTAGAAACTGGAATTGTTGTTACAGATTAGATCGTAAATTATGTTTAATCAAACTGATGAAAATTAAGTGTCAATTAACTCGCATATCGCTTCCCCAGATAATCAAAGGTAGCATAAGAATGTGCACACTAGATCGCATTTGAGTTTGCTTCAAGATAAGACCAATAAGAGCTATAAGAGCATTGCATCTTGTTGCAATTCAAGTTGAAATTAACGCAAAACTACGATCAAAATAAAAAATGCGACTATTGGTATAATAATAGATATGATTGTCAAAGGATGTGGAGAAAGGTGCCGTGAAATCTAAACCAACTTAAGATCCTAACGTTAACAAAAGCTGATGATTTTCATTAACATCGATATCTTTCCAAGTCCAAGTAGGCTTTTTGAAGCTTATAATTTATCATTGATATAATCCTCTGTACTTACAAGTGCTTATACATATGGTGTAGTGGATTCAGTTCTGGTTTCTGGATACAAAGGTAGAGGTATGGAGACTAGCTGCAGGAATAGCTTTTTTGTTTTATTTATATGGATGATCGTATTTCTGTTATATGGAAATCGGCAAAATTGTTATTGGAAAGCCAGTATGGAACGTATATAGCAAATCTGCGCATCTTATACGATTTGTTTGGTTAGTATATCACTGTGTATTTCCGGAACTATACGGACCAAAATGTTGACTGCGTCAGCAATCAAATGTCACTTTTGCTGAGATTTAAGTGAAACTTATTTTTGCCAAGATTTGCACAGCCCGAGCTCGTTAGAAAAAACTGAGTGTGTACTTTTAATAGATTTTAAGCTATAGGTGAGCATTAGGAGTATTGTCAGGTTTGTAGCCATATAAACATTACACTTGGCGTAGGGTTGATATACTTTGAATTCTTATTCGAATTCCCTTACAATGCTCTCTGGAATTTCTTCAGATTTGCTTCAAAATTCCTTGGAATTCTACACATAATCTCTCAGAACTAGTTTGGAATTCAAGTTCAGTTCACCTCAGAATTTTATTGAAATATTTATTTGATTTACATGAATATTCTAGTAAAATTACTTTGAAATTTTCCTCAGAATTCGTTTAGAATTATCCCTAGAATTCCTCTAAAATTCTTCTCAGAACTAATTTGGCATTATCATCAATATATTCTATGCAATTTTTCAAAGTGTCAGAATCCTAAAATTTTGTTCAAGTCCAAGTCATTTTCTTCTTAAATCTGTGATCTTGAAAATAACACACTAAGATAAGTTATGGCGCGTGCACCAGTTATGGACCAATCATATATATGCAATGGTACCAGTTTTGGTCATATTAGTACATGCCGCAATGGATTACCAGCATGGTTGGTTTTCGCAACAGATGTCGCTAATAAAAAAAGTTACAGCGATTTATTTTATTGATTGTTAATTTTAACAAAATTATGTCCTTTTCGAAAAAAATATTTGATAAATTTAATAGTTTTAATTTTACCTACCATTAAGTTATTGGCCTACCAAATATTTTGGATATTTTGCAAAAATGTCGAAATCTTAAAACATTATTTTTTTAAAACTTATTCCCCATGCTGAAAACAATCTCTTATAAACAATCTTGAACTACATATGTCTTCAGATGAAAACATTTAATCTCGGAAGAACTGCTCATATTCGAAAGAAGGATAAATCAGTGTAGGCTAAAAATTCCTCAGCTAAAATTGTTTCGATATGCAAGGTCTTGTAATTTTTTTTTTCTATGTTTTCAAAATTTGAATCTTTCAAAGTTCCAAAGTTTTCCAAGGCGGCTAATAATTTGAATCAATCCATTTTTCCCATGAAATGAGATCTTTGAAGTTTTATTTGTTTATAATATATAGAATTATAAGAATTCAGAATCTGAGCAGTTCCTTGCCAAATAACGAATCGGATAAAACTCGACCTTCTCCGATTTGCATAAAACTTTGCATAATTGTGTTTTATAAGCAATCATTAACATTTTTAGAAAAATTCGGCCTTTTTGGTTGTGGTTTTTTTTTACGGGGATGAACTAGGCTCCGGCTAAAAATCTCCTAAATAAAGGAAGAAAAAAAAATGTAGTATTTTTTTTCAAAATGGTGCCTTTGTAAATTTTCAATAAATTGTAGCATGAAAACGTCAATTCTGATCGAAATGACGTCTAAAACAAAGTTGTTGAGAAAAATGAAGTCCTTCTAAGAAAAATATACATAGTATATTTTTCAAGTAATTTTAAGGAAAAAAAACCATAAAAGTGTTCAAAACTCAAATATTTCAAAAAAGTATATCGTTGATTTTTTTTAAACAGAAAAGCTCATAAAAATATTTTTTTTTGGAATATTGAAAATATACAAAAATCGTTCAACAAGAACTTTTGGTCAAATATTAAAGCATTTTGCTAGCACGCTTTTTTATGTAATTTCTACACAGGATACAATATTTTATACATTACAAATCGATATGTGTGCTAAAATTACTTTAAAATGCTAGCTAAGAAATTAAAAAAATACAACCAAAAGTTTACTTTGTACGATTTTTGACAGATTTCAAGTGTGAAGTGTTGCGTTTTTGTGTCAAGTGCTGCATGAGCTTTATTAAAAAATAAATTATAAATATTGAACATATACTTTTTAAGATATTTCAGATTTTAACATTTTTTTAAAATTTTTACTCAAAATTACTATCCAAAAATTACAGTGTATATTTTTCCTAGATAGACGTAATTCCGATCAGAAGTAACGTATAAATGTGAAGGATCACTTTATCAAGTTTCATTTTTATTATTCTATTTGGCCTGGAAATGTTTCGAATTTCAAATTGTTTTAATATTTTCAATGCTCTTTCTCGGACAGAGATCTGGAAAAATTCTAACAGTGTTGAAACTTTTTTCAAAGAGCATCCTGAGTTCAATCAATCACTTTTCAATTTCACCTTAATGGCTTTTCGCCTTGGTGACCCATTTGGCTTAATGGAGGTACTCCATCGCAAGACGCCAGAGTTGCCAGATTAATTCGTATATTTCCATTTCGATTTTTTCATCTTCTGTTTGTTACGATAAATTGTAGAGGTGTTTGTGTTTCTTATAACAGACTAAGCAAATAATATTCTCTTCGGTTTCCGGGGTCGCCACGTTCATTGGCACCACCTCGAGCATCTTTATATTTTCCTATGTGTCCTTGCTGTTGTCCAGTGATGCACCTCCAGCCACCACTCCCTCATACGCTTAGATACTGGTAAAGTTTCGTTCATAATACTGGTCTTGCTTTTCATCGTTCTGTTTTTGTTCTTCGTCTTCATGTTGCTTTTCTGGCAGCTTCTGGGCCTTCTGCCTGGGGTAGAGGTTTAACCCATGCCCCTTCAAAAAATATGTCCCCCTTCCGATTGAGGAAATGAGCGTACCTTGTACACCTGTGTACATACATTTCGAGACACTGCTCCACAGGGAATTTCTTCCCGTACTTCAACTTTCCCGTATTTTCCTAACACCAACAACGCTAGATCGTAGTCCAGAACCTTCGATACACTCGAAACGCACGCATTAAACATTGCCTCCCGATAAGCGAAATGCTTCCATCTACTAATGAAAATTAGATGCTCCGAGTTATGGATGAATGCATGAATTGAATAGACAAATCAGACACCTTAGTGGATCACTTGTAGCAGAACGGTTGTGGTAACTTCAAAGTAGCTGAATTAATCATATTGTCGAGCAGTTTTGGGACGACCTTCTACCAGCGATTTTACGGAAATGAAACAATCAATTTCAGATTTTTCAAGCATTTTACAAATAAGACCCTATTTTCTCGAGGTTGTAGAAGAAAAAATATTAAAATATTGTTCCACGTTAAAGTTCGAGTGGTAGGAAACGTCATTTTAAACTGCTCGAATGATGTGATCCATTCATTCTCACTCAACTTACTGCAATTTGTTATGACCGAATTGTGCTACTTGAGAAGATGTTTTAAGCTTGAGTTTTGCAATAAATTTGGGTGCAGGTTTATTTTATAAAGGAAATTTACTCGCTTTGAACTGTTCATTTAGAAATTGTTGTTTTAAATTGGATACATTTCTGTTGGACAAGTGAATTTTGTATTTTAATGTACACGTTTTTTTATTATTCATGAGTAGAACCGATGTCTTTAAATGCAACTTGCTGCACTTTTTCCGGAGCGCTTTGACTTTTTTTTAGCACTACTCGTCTTGCAACAACATTTATCATTCTCCACTAAACTTCTCAATTATAACACCCTAAACTTAGCATGGGTAAATATACTGCTTAGAATCGCATATCAGTCCCATCTGGATTTTCATCAATTTAGAGATAACAACACCATCCGCTATCACTCGGCATCTATACTTTCATATTATGTGATAAAACTACGGACTTTGAACATGAAAAATGGGAAAACAACATCAAGCAAATTTGTCCCATCATTTAAAGTCCCATTCTGAAAGTCATTCGTCCAGAGATCAAGTTAAAGTTCTACTTTTTGAATTGCATTATTTTTCGCTGATGTATCAAAACATTCAAGTTTCATTGCAACCAGGGTTGCTTCCACTCACTTGCTATAAAACATATTTTCTCGGAATTATGAAATCATCAGATCATATGACGATATGTTGTAGTTGCAAGTAACAAGAAGAGGGTGAAAAGTGAGTGTTTGACTCATAAAACCTGTCAATTTCGCTTTCAGAGTATCACAAGCAGCGATCTTATGATTCGTGAGCGTTCACTCAGAGTGAGCGCTCACGAATCGTGAAATCGCTGATTGCGACGTACTGAAAACAATATTATCTGGTTTTATGTGTCAAACACATACTCCACGACCTCTTCGTATAACTTACAAGTACTACAAGTCTTATGATTTCATAATTCCAAAAAACAATTTTTCATAGCAAGTGAGTGGAACCAACCCTGATTGCAACTGGTTTTAACTTAAAAAAAAGTGTCAATACATTTACTCTGACTTTTCGAATATTTGCATGGGAATTGCACTTCACAACTTCAACTGCCAATGCCTACACTTTTTCCATATGCGATTATAGGCAGTATATTTGAATGTCATCGGAGGCGTTTGCTTGTTAACTTAATGATAGTCTTTATATTGTTAAGCGCTGTTCTTAGATTGTGATTGAATTATTGATTATGAACCAACCTTTAACCTGTTTAATAAAGGTTGTGTCATCAAACTGTTCTTTCATCAAGTTATCAATTTTTCGATTGAAATTTATGCTCAATAACTGCGCACTTTATCCAATCAGCTAGAACTTCTGGGGAAAGAGAAGAAATCAAAACGAATTTCCCATTTTGTGCCATATACCGTACGGATTCCTTTCCAGTGACAATCAAACATCTGGCATTTACTCGGCATCTCACATCATAGTATTTGCCCATGATGACAAAGATGACGGCGATGATGTTGGTGCGCTTTTCGGTGCACTGATGTAGAAGTGATTGTCGTTGTCGTCTTTCATAGCTGCCGGATCCTTGTCAATGTCATCGGGCGGGTGGGCGGTCGGCCTTCGAAAAATGAATCACTTAAGTACAGTTTATGTCTTCTTCATCCCGAGGACAGTTTTCCGCTTCTCTGGAGAAGACCGTGATGTTGTGTATGAACGGTACCACATCACATGGAATATCGAGATAAGCATTCTTGGTGTGTCATTTTCAACATTCCACCGGTTATCCTTCCGAGGAATAACGCTGGGATGAGCGCAAAAGTCGCCCATGATGGCAGAAATAATTTCCGGAACCTGGTACTTTAGTTCACATCAAGTGACGGTTTGTTATATACAACGGTATACTTTTGAAAGTTGCGTGAAATCGGTTTCCCGGAGTCGACTGAAAAATGAAAAACATCGTTGGATGGCGTTCTTGTGGTAAATCTCCTAAATGTGCAGTTATTTCATCAAATCGACGTATATTGAAACAATCCTGCCACAGTACTTTGCCCTAAAAGAGCTCAAAACTGAAAGAGACACTGTGCATTATCGCAATAAGTACAAACGACACGTAACCAATTTAGGGGTACTAATGATAAAGCTGTTACCACCATTCACCACGATTCTTCATAGCTGCCACATCATTTGATAATAATGATTACATTTTCATTTTCTCGTAATTTCTCACTTCATATCTTTGTCTTCTTTTTTTTTTTGCAGGCACCACCTCTCGTTAGAGCCGAACTCGTGAACACAACGACACACCGCGGTCAGAGGGCTCCCTGGCTGGCTGGCTGGTTGGAGACAGAGAGGAGCCATTCGTGGAGAACAGTGCTCGCCCAACACGGTTGGCGACCACCGAGACCACAATCAATTTTGTTTCGTTATTTTGCTTTCATAATTTAGAAAAACTTTACACTTTAACGTCTTCAGCGTCTTCATCACCATCATCATCACTTCCAACATAATCTTCACAACAATGTCACATCACAGCGATGATCAGCTTCTGCAGGCGGGCAGCGATTCCTTCTGGGAACCTGGCAACTATAAACGAACCACCAAACGGATAGAGGACGGCTACAGGTGAGGGAAATTTGTCTCTCTGAGTGGATGTTTTTGGGAGTTTGCGTTGGACGATAGTTTGCATGTTTATTATTTATGAACGTTCTAAATTAATTCGATGTGATATAAAACCGAGCTAGTGAGTTATTAAGCTCTACCAGATACTTTCGATGGAAACAGTATTACGAGCTACCGTGTGGAATTGTTTCGTACATATGTAAATCTGTACACTTTAGTGCTGGAAATCATAAAATTAAATCCATTTTGTCCTCCAAATTACTCGGTAGAATTTTACTGAACAAACTCATATTCTACTCTATATAAATTGTCTTGACCTAGTGTTATCGATCTCTTGTTGTCAGTTGAGCAAACACAAGATTTGCTCAAAACTTTCTCGCTTCACTATCTGTGGCGAGACAAGAACCCACGGGACCACCGTTCAATTTGTTTGCTATGTTCGATATATGCCTATACTAGCACGTAGTTTCGGCCTCGTAACCGTACTGAAGTCATGATTGATTGATTGGCTGATGTTTAACCTTATCGTTGTATTTCGTTTTCTTCTCTTTTTTTTCATTGTAGATTATGCACAGACCTGCAAACCCTGATACAGGAACGGGCGGAAATCGAGAAAGGATACGCCAAAAACCTGAAAACATGGTCGAAAAAATGGGCCGAACTGATTGAAAAAGGTAAGTGCATTGGCGGCACCACGAGTCAGAGCAATTGATTGGAATTATGTAACATTACTACCACATTCACCTTCAATTGGACACGCAAGTAGCAGTAGAGTAATTGAGTGGGGTGGGGTTGATAAAATGTATACAAGAAACGAATATTTTTCATAAAATATTAAGCAGATAACTGATTGAAATGCGTACACAACTCTGTTGGAGCTGTCGATAATTTTCGTTCGTTATTACTCACGCTGCTCACGATCCAACACACTTGTGAAGCCATAAAACACTTGAAGTGTAGAGTGACGATATTCATACAAGTGGACTTGCCTCCAGTGTGGGGCAACGGTCATTCGAATAACAAATATGACCTAATCAATGTCACGGTCGCCATATAACTGAGAAACCAAAAACTGCACCAAACCGCCAACTACACCGCACTACACATTAGATTTCACCCCTTTTTCCGTGTCGTTGTGTGCGAGCTCTGGCCGTCATAATGATAAATAGCAAACGGCATTTTTTCGTGATTGTTTACAACCCAGACCCCTCTAATAATATAACCATAGCTAGCAGTATCATTCGCGTGTTGAAAATAAATAAAATAAAACGTTTATAAATTCTCCGGCACATCGACGAAGATTACCGCAGCAACAAATGATGCGGTCCTCGGTGAACCCAGACAACGGTGTTAGACCAAGCGCAAAAAAAAAAAGTTCTGGAGGATTACTCCGAACATCGCGCGCGAGATTACTTGCGGCTCACGTGCTCAGGATGATGTCATCTGTTTGCGATTACAGCTGCCTAATCACTTCGAGGTGATATCAGAACAACAAACGCGTAATCGATTGGCTATTTATTGGAAGAATGCCGTGATCGATTGTAGTGTGCTATTGAATAGAGCTACATCAAAGTACTTGAGCTGGACAGTATAGATGAAGAGTAATATTATAAGTCCTGCACTATCTGAGACGAAAGGTAAACAAACCCTCAAGCCAAGACAGGCGCTGTTTGTTGCTGTATTCACCAGATGTGGACTGAAATGATAAATATCTAGTCACTTCGCTTATAAATAGATCGCAATTTGTAAACGTAAACTGCAGGCAACTGGTAGGGTCGGGCTGAGTGTAACATTTGCACTGACACGTACCAAACAAACCAAGCGGCAAAGAGAGGCTGAATCAACTATGCGCTTCATTGGTTTGTCCGAATGATTATAATTTATCATTTTCCATCATCCGGTCCGGCCGTTGGCCACTGCGTATGAATTTGAATTGTGTGCGGTCGTGTCGTGTCGTTTGTATTAATTCTTGACGTCTGTGGATTACATCTTTGCGATGACACATTGGAACCTGTTTTCAGTGGAATAGTTATTGCTATTTGCTTTTACTGAGATAAATGCAACCAACGATGTAGGTCATTGGGTAAAGAACAGTAAATGGTCGTTTTTGTTAGGAACACCTGTTGAGATCGCTAAAAAAATGGTATTTTTTGATATTTTTTTTAGAACATTAGAAGCTTATTATTGCAGGCAATTTTTGTGTCGCTTGTGGGACAGCGGAGAAAAGAAATAATTTTTTAATTGTTAATTAAGATAGGATTTTTTTGAAATTTGCAAAATTATCCAAAATTTCTCCGCTAAAAAAAAAGTTAAATTCGTTGGAAATCGCTACTCAAATGCGCGTAAACAATCGAAAAGATATAATACCGTGGACCCCCGGTAATCTGACCGTTTATAATCTGAGCATTTTTTAATTTGAACTCCGCTAATCTGCACACCGTGCAAACTAAAAACTGCTCAAACGTCATTTAGCACATAGAATGGAGTAAAGCGAAATGGAACGATTCGAGACAAAACGCAGAATCAAAACAAAACAACAAATAAGGTTACCAGGAACTTGCTTTTCTGAAGGTCATAGGGTTACTAGAAGTTAAAATTTAAATGAACCCCGTTAATATGCACGAAGTGTCGTTCACATTAACGGTGTCCGAAAAATCCTATGTTAGATTTTAGAGAATTAATGTTTACATCACAGACAGAAGAATCAGCAAAATTGATCGAAATGTCTCCGAGATCTCTGTTTCGCAAGGAAAAAATAATATTTTGGGCTGAAAATTTTCGAAAATAAAGCTGAAATGTTGCTTAATAACAAACCGAAAACCCGAAGTGGTTGCATTTATTATGTTCTAAGAAAATTAACAAAAAATACCCTTTTTAGAGATCTCAACAATGATTATTCGTAAATTTGCAAATCCGCAAGATTCCATTCCATTTGCAGGGCTGGTAGCAGGTCACTTTTTAGTGACTTGATCACTATTTTGAAGCCAGTCACTAAAAAGCCACTTTTTACACCAAAAAGTCACTAAAGTCACTATTTCCCTAAAAATAGTCACTAAAGTCACTTTTTCACTACTAAAATAGAGTGAAATTTGAAAATATCAACAAAATGTTTAAATTGAGTACTTATCACTTAGACAGTCAACAGTAGTTTTAACAAAATATAGATATCTGTTAAATTTAAAATTTTTACCAGGTGACCAGTGAACCGCAAAACTTTAGAACACCAGGAAAACTATTGGGAAATGTCTTCAATTTCGATTAAAATCATTTTCTCCGATACCTCTTTTCCCAGAAAATAAATTGTAAACGTTGAAAACTTTCCAAAGGTATGTGATAGATTTGCAATGGATGATTAAGAACTTTAAAAATATCCAAAGTAAATTTTAAGAGAATTTTAAAGGATTCTAGGGATGACACCAAGATATATCAGAGGAGAATACCAAAGTACATACTACGAAAGTCTCATGTAAAATTAAGTGTTCTGAGGACTGATTTCTTTTTTTTTTATCTAGTTCGTTTATTTGTAAGGCTCAATCGCGTTAGATTTGTTGTTCTTTGTTTGTTACAAAATTCACTTAATTCTATGTCTAGTAGGAGTTGGGTCGAATACTCGCGGCTTACTCGAGATTAGAGGGGTACATTTTCGAAGGATAGGAAAAGGGGAGGAGCTTGGGAGTAGGGTTTCGTTGTCTCATCTGGAGTTCGACCGGCTATGGTGACCAGTGGGCGATGATGAGACTCATCGAGACGACTGATATCTTCATCTCTGCTTAAATCTTAAGCCAGGTTTGCCTATATGTATAGTTAAACTTGGCTTAACACATACCAGCGTCGCTTTTGATTATTGTTTAAATTATTAGAGACGCAAAATTCAGCTCCGAAACAATTTTGGAAATAATTCCAATATAATTGAGAGTGCATTTAACGAGAGTTCTGAGAAGAATTCTATGATGATTTGATGAGGATTCTAGGTCCAATTCTAATAAGAATTGAGGAGATTAGAAGAAAAAAAGGGTGTAAGTGACTTTGGTCTATTCTCTTCATCCACTTTCTCTTTTGATAGTCACAGCTTTATAAACAGATTTTGCGCTATTTCTGCCACATAGTTTGACAAAGGAGCATCCAGAATCCAGAATGGCACACGAATCAAGGAATGTGTTTGCAGCTGAATTATGAACGAAAGAGAAAGTCAATGAAGAGAATCGATCAAAGTCACTTACACCCCTTTCCCTCTAACCCCCTCAATTCAAAATTCATTCTGAAATTACAAGAAAATTCTAAAGAGTTAGAAATAAATTCCTATAATTCCATTGGAAAAGTTTCAAAGTTATTCTGTGGTGGATTTTTGTTTTGAGAATTCTGAGGAAATACTATTGGAATTCTAACGAATTAAATTTACAATTGAATGCAAGGAAGAAATCCAAGATTATTCTAAGCAGAAATTTATGAAATTTCTGAGGTTAATTGCATGGAAATTCTTAGAAGAATTCACATAAACTTTAAATGGATTAATGGAAGGGGCCTTCAGGGAGTTCCTAGAAGATTCAATACAAAATCGAAAGTTCCACTTTAACTAATCATGTGTTATTACTTCATGCGTAAATTTAACGATGAACAGAATTGGAGATGCTTGACGTCAAATATCAGACTTAAAGTGGAGATTTTATATGACAAATGAGGAGATTAAATTATAAAGTTTATAGTTCCGTTATAGTACGGCAGTATGAAAATTGTATATACAAAGTAAAAAGCGAGCGAGCAAAGGACAATTTTGAGGAAGGTATGAATCGAGTAATTGTTTACGTCAGATATCGACTTGAGTGCGAAACAGTCGATATAACTGTTTCCGCACATCGGAGGTACATGAGCAAATCGGCGATCATCCCTTTTGCCAGTGATGGCAGAGGGAAACACCCCTCACCATTCCTCATTAACGGATGAGCTTGGTAAAGGAGATGCTCTACCCGATTTGTACCTTCCTCAAAATTGTCGTTTGTTCGCTTTCTACTTTCTATATACAAATTTCACACTGCCGTACTATAACAGAAACTATCAACTCTTTACTTTCATCTCCTCATCCATCGTCTAAAATGTCCATTTTAATTCTGATATTTGATGTTAAGCATTTCCAACTACGAAAATAATCTATTTCCAAGAATTTTGTGGACTCTTCTGAAAAAAAAAAATCAAGAATGCAGTATTATTTTTGTAAAAGCTTATTTGTCTCTAAATTTAAGAGAAGGAGAATTATTATAAAAAAGAGATCATTCTGAGAAAAGTTCTTAGCTAATTATCAAAGTTATCTACCTAGATATATCAAAATCAGAATCAAATACAAGATCATAAAAAATGGAAATTGCTAGTCATCTAATAATGTATCATACAACGTAAGCAAAAGTAAATTATTCAAATCACTTCAAATGCTCTTCGCAGGAGATTCCGTTGTGAGCTTCGATTAAATTAGAGGAATTTATGAAATTTGACTTTAAGTTCCATGTCATATTTGAGAGTATTGTAATCGAATAGAAATTCAATCACCTTTATTTTTCGTATGCTTCTCAAATACAACTAATGTTTAGAATCAAAATTAATATTCTAACTCTATTGATTAGTTGATCATTGTTGGTTAACTAATGGCACCAAGAAATGTGCAAAATATTGCGATGAACTTAATTATTATTTGGCACGTACATCGAATCGAAAAGAAAATTCATGTGAAATGCTAGCTTCTAGCAAGGGTTTCAAGATAATGTACACAGCAAAAAATTAATTTTTATATCACATGAAGGTGGAAGCACATCAATCGTGTCAAAAATATGGTGTTATATTACTTGCCAAAAAGGACAAAATTATCATTAAAACAGTGCTTGAACTGACATTACGCTGCTTTTACTGCATTTGTTTATTTTTGTAGCCATAAACATTACGAGATTTTCGACATGATTGAAGTGCGTGCATCCTCTTGGATGTAACAATAAAATTTATTTTTTGCTGTGTAAATACAAAACCCAGCTGACGAATTGTATCTTTTTTTTCTCCGACCATTAGACACTAACGAATGCTATGTGCGTGGTCCTTTAGATTTTAAAGCATTCGGATTGGTTTTGTAATTTTTTTCGAAGCATGAACAATATTGGCGTAAATGGGCCATTCTCTCGAATAAAGTTTTGTTAGAAATTTTTACAATAAATCATTTAAGACCACGAAGATATATTAGACTAAGAAGAATTGTCAAAGCTGAGGAAAATTAATCAAAATTATTGGAAAATTCTCAAAACTCTTAGGACTTTTACGGTTTGCCTCTTATCGAAGACAACATATCAAGAAGACTAACAACTTTTCCAGAATCCAAGCGACAGATACAATACCGCTGCGCTTGGGCGAAGGTGGAAGCAATGAATAGAAGAATAAGCAAATACACACACCTTTCTTCTATGGTTGAAATCGCTATAACAATCGATTGGAGCATTTACCTTTGAGCGGCAAATGACACGCTTGTACCTGTCTCATAGCGGACGTATGAAAAATTTGAATTTGCAGGAGAGCATCAAATGACTTCTACGAAAAAAAAAATCCAAGGCAGTTTTGAAGAGAATTCTAGGAGCATTCTAAAGAGAATCGGGAAATTTTAGAAAAAAAGAAAAACGCTTGGGAAATGCTGAGGAAAATTGAATAGAAATTATGAGGATAATTTTAAGTGAATTTGATGGAGAATGTCATGAGAATAAAGAAGATAATTCCAAAAAAAAACTCTGATTAGAATTCCAAAAATTACATAGAGAATTCTAAAACTTGTTCTAAAAAGAATTACAAATAGCTCTGTGAAGTCGATGAAAATGTTGAGGACAATTCCAAGAAATATTCCAAAGAAAAAAAATCCAAGGGAATTAGAAGGAGAGCTTCAAAGGAAATCGGTGTATTATTTTTACACAATTCCAAGGGGAAGTTCCATGAAACTCAAATGAGAATTCTGAGGAACATTTTAAGAATTTAAAAGTAGGGTAAATGACGGCTTCGGCAATAACTTTACCTATTATAACGGGTGTTCAATAAAAAATGAGAATGATTTCAGTGCCGTACAGCGCTTTTGTGAGAGCATCGCGACTTGCATCGTACGGCTGACCAGGGCCCCTTCTCCAATATTCATTGACGTTTTTTTGAAGAATTAACATTATGTTTTTAATAAAAAATACTGAATTCGTTGAAAAACAATTTTCTTTATCACTGAAAAAATTCTCATTTTTTATTGAACACCCGTTAGTCAGTGAAAAAAATGAACTCCTTGAGGGCTCATTTTGTTGCATGAGGATATATGAGAATGAGTGCTTAAGGACTTTGTTTACTCCCTGACAATATTAGGTAAAGGTATTTCTGAAACTGGAATTAACTCTAATTCATAGAATAATTCCATTGTAGTCTTGGGAGGATACTTATAAAACGCTGAGGAAAATATCAAGAGAAATTTTGGAAATTCTTTGAGGTATTCAAAAATAATTCTGCGAGAAATATTAGAAATACAAAGATAATTGCAGAGTGAATTTCAAGAGTTATTTGTGGACAATTCCAAGAGTACTACGAAGAAAATAACAAAGAAATACCAGAGAAAGCATCAAAGAGACAATACTAAGATGGTTCTGTGTAAATTCCTCGAATAAAGTTTCTGTGTAAAGTTTATAATAATCCCCTCTTTTCCACGCTGTAAACCAGGGTGAATCACTGTGGAAGCCTTATTTGATTAATTTCGCATTTGATTAATCTCGTTTACACCTCAAGAACACAAATTTAATATGGCAGCCCTACTTTTGCTCAATAAATCAGATGAAATTATCCTTAATAAGTAAAAAAATCTCTTTAAAATAGATCGGGTTGCTCCTTAAATGATTGATCAAAATACGTTAAAAATCTTAAAATGCTCAGTAAATATTTAAAGTACGCTCCCTAAAATAGAGAAACTGTACATTAAGCATTTGAAAATGCTCCTTACTATGCACCGCTTTGCACCATTTTGAAGTGTAATTGTACCATATATCATCGGAAAAGCTGCTGTAGAAAGGTTAATAAGTACCATGAAATCAGCTCTCAAAACAAGTAAACTGCAACATAACGTTTGCAGCAGTGATAATCATTAACGCTCTAAAACGTTCTCGATTCTCTCTTAGCTCTCGAAAATCCTTCCTATCGGTTTCATGCAATGGCATATCCAATGAAGTTTTCTATATTCACCGTTCCCCGTCAATATTTTGCTCCATAGCAATTTCCAATTTACGAAACCCTCCACCCACACCAACTCATCATCGAAGGCAACGACAGGACGTTCGTTATCCTCAATCAGAGGACTTTAATTAGTTTAGCGCTGGGTTACTTAATTTAATGTGTTGTTTTCTTCCATCCCCTCAACAGGACCAGAGTACGGAACGACCGAGGCGGCATGGAAAGGTATCCTCACCGAAGCGGATCGGCTTTCCGACCTGCACCTGAAAGTCAAGGAAAACCTCTGTACCGACGTGATGCACCAGATCAAAGCGTGGCAGAAGGATAATTACCACAAGGTAAGGAGGGATCTCCGCCTGTAATCCTATTTGGAGTAGAATTAAATAGTAGCAAGTTAACGCGACTCTCCCGCCCATTTTAGACGATGATGCAAATCAAGGAGCGCAAGGAAATGGAAGACCAGTTCAAAAAGGCACAGAAACCCTGGGGGAAACATCTAACGAAGGTGGAAAAGTGCAAAGCCGACTACCATGCGGCGTGTAAGACGGAACGGTCCGCTGCTAATCAGGAACGGAATGCCTCGAGTGATTCGTCACTATCCAATGATCAGGTTAAATGTTGATATTGACAGCAATTCAACAACAAGCTAATTCCAATTAACTTTGTCCCCATTTCAGCTGAAAAAGATGCAGGACCGGACGATGCGCACCAAGGAAGAAGTGAACAAGTGCCGAGAGCGGTATGACCAAGCCCTGCAGGAAATCAACAAATACAATCCTGTCTATATCGAGGACATGACCTCGGTGTTTATCAAGTGCCAAGAGATGGAAGAGACCAGGTTACGCTTCTTCAAGAACGTTCTGTTTTCGATACACAAGTGTTTGAACATTTCCGAGGATCCGAGCTTACCGCAGATCTACAAGGAGTTCCATCACACCGTCAACAATGCCGACCATCAGAAGGACCTGAAGTGGTGGTCCAACAATCACGGTGTTAATATGGGTATGAGTTGGCCGACGTTCGTGGTAAGTGTTACCTTACACGCCTTCTGTTAGTTTCGTTCGAAACTATGCGCTTTCGCATGCTGATTTCTAACATACGAAATGCCTTCTAACGTTCCCTATGAAATCCTGTTTCTTTTTCTGGAGTGACATTTCTGTTATTTGACTTTCAATCAATCGTCTTTTTTTTTTTAGCATGTGTGATGAGAATGGAGTGGACATTAATTCACCATCACCATTCACAAATGAGTGCTATAATCCTGAGTTGGAATGATTCAACTTTTATGTTCTGTGTTTCGTTGTCCATCAATCAGAATCATTGTTGCGCTCGCTTCCGGTTGCAGAGGGGTTTTGGATTTCATAGCACATTTAGCTAAAATTGGCTTATTTATATAACTTAAATTGAAGTGAAAGTGCAATTCACGCTCAGTTTAAAATTTTTTGGAAGAACTTTTATCGGATGTTGCTATGTTAGAATTTGACAAATTATTAACTGCCTGGCCCTGACGAATGGGATAAGATAGGTAATCAGAAAAAATATCATTCCCAAGTCCTACCAGAATCGCGTTAAATTTTCAAAGCTTGAGGTTTTTCAGATAGGTATGTCTTTCGTGGCTGGGTTCGATTCCCGGTCCGGTCTATGTTTCGGGTTGGACAATTTCTCGACTTCCCTGAGCTAAAGTATTATTGTACTTGCCACACAATATATACTAAATTGCAAAAATTGCACAGGCTTAGAAAGCTCTCAATTAACAACTGCCCCGTAACGTGGGTAGATTGCCTTTTCGTGGTACGTTACGGGATGCGGGTTCGATTCCCGGTCCGGTCGAGGGAATCTTTCGGGTTGGAAATTTTCTCGACTTCCCTGGGCATAGAGTATCATTGTGCTTGCCACACAATATACAAATTCATGCATTGGTATTGGCATCGAAAGCTCTCAATTAATAACTGTGGAAGTGCATTTAGAACACTAAGTTGAGAGCACGCAATAAGCTAATATGCGCTAAGCAATAAGCTTGAAATGCGAATAAGAAGAAGAAGTACGGGATGTAAGATCTACCACCGATTCCTATGACTACTTCAAACTAAGGGAACATTATTTTTCAGTAATCCAAGGAACACATCTTAGTCCTTGTTACTTTTTATGCCTTGTTGATAGTGACAAGGCTCGGCTTTGTCCACCGAGGATGATCTTGAAACAAGGAAAAACTAGATAGTTAGTTTTCATCTATGTGATTTCTAATCTTCTATTCATTGTTCAGTGTTCACTCGGCTGTCGACAAAAGCAGACCACTCTTCGATGTGTGCTACGCGATCGTCTGTTTTCTCGGCAGCAACCATTGTGTGGTCCTCCTCATTGTTCTTCATCAGCAGTTCTTTCGGTCGATGCGTCGTCGACTTTGGAAAGCAACCGTTTCGTGATGAGTGTGTGAGTGCTGACCACGTTTTGCGTCCATTGCTGCAATGGACGCGCTCTGACCCTCGTTGGCGTACAACAATTTGCCATACAATGAAACTACTGGAAGCGGCTCCAGTTCTGATGGAGGAGGCTTTTTGGATAGCGGAAGATAAAGTGTTTATTGTGCTGTACCTTTTGACTATATTTTTAAGATGTATTGTATAGTGACCAAGAATCCTCGGCTCTGTAAAGTTAATTCGGTTGAGCCTTACCAAATAAATTAATAAACAAAAAAAAAAAAATATATTCATTGTTCCCTAGTTTGAAGTGATTTAGACTAGGGTTCTGATGCATGGTCATTATCGGTGTCATTGTTTAATTTTGTTGCTAAGGAATCCAATTTTGACTGAAAAAGAGGCGCGCCTTTGGAGGGTGTTTCAACACTCCGAAGGGTATCAATAGCGGGACCTTTCAATTAGTCTCGGATCCTTGCGATAAATACAAGAATGACAACTGTAAAAAACCGAATACTTTATCATTTATCAATAGTGAATAGGGGCAAGATGATTCAGAAAACATCGGGTCTGTTTAAATCGAAGATGCTTAAGAATCCAATAAATGGATGAAACGTGGACATCTCGTACGATTGTGGTAATTATATGATTGGTTGGTCGTAGGAATCAGCAATGCTAAGTGATTCTGCATTTTCCTCTGACGGTTGGGACATGAGCATTAACTCTTGTCCTAGCCTTTTATGGCCTATGGCTATAGCGCCATTACTCGCTCTCTTAAAAGAGAAGAGGGAAAGGAAAAGGGAAGAAAATGATAAGGACAAAGGGAAAGAATTTTGTAAACTCTATGAACATAAACAATATTTTTGATTTGAAATATCTATATATATAAAAAGAGAACTTGTATGCAGGGGTTTTTGGGGAAGGGAAAGGTTCTTATGATGGTTCGCGACCCCTCCCCCCTCGTTAAGGGGAGGCTCCCATACAAATGAAACATACATTTCTGCATAACTCGAGAACTAATCATGTAAATGCAACCAAATTTGGCATGTGGAGGTCATAGAGGGTAGTCCCTTAGATAAGAGGGGGGACTACGTACAATATAGCATGCTTTTTTTAATTGGCGCATAACCTCAAGCTAATATTGAATCCCGAGCAAGGCCGGGCACTCAGCTAGTACAATATAAAAATGCATAACGGCGGTAGTGAATACCCGAGTCTTGTCACTATTATCAAGGTTAAAAAGTAACAAGAACTAAAATTAGATTGATTACTGGAAAATCCTGATTCCCTAGTTTGAAGCTGTCAGCACTACATACTGTGTTGCCTGACTTATAACGAATATACGTTGTATACGAGTACCCCGAATACAACGTATGACTCGTCTAATTTTGCATGGCATTTGATTAAAATTAGACGAACTACATATACGTTGTATTCGGGGTACTCGTTTTAAATCATGTAACACAGTTGAGTTCGGTGGTAGATCTTATACCAGTAACGTACCACGAAAAGGTGATCTTCTAATGTTACTGGTTTGAAATGATAAAAATTGTCAAAATGGAACGAACTCACCAAGTTTAGCCAATTGAACCCAAATACAGCTTGACATATGTTGATGTAGAAGTCCAAATTGTAGACGAAGCTTGACGAAGATCAACATAAACTAGTCCGCTTTGTGGTAGTTGCACGGAATGTCTTCCCTCGATTTGAGATAAAAGGTGTTCGGATGTATGTAGTCGATTTTTGATGTGCATTGGCAAGCCTTTTCGTGGCCAATAGTCAGGTTCAGCGCTGCGACTCAACGGTGAGACGAATGATGGGACGCCTCATGGAGGTTCTACTTGGATTCGGAACAGCTTCTCAGCGGCAAATAACGAGAACGTAGAACTAGATACAATGAGATGCAGCTCTCACAGGACTTCTTCTGTCTTAGTGAACTAGTGAGGAACTAGAAATCGTCTCATGGCCCAGTGGTTGAAAAGTCTATTTTGACGCTCTTAATTAATATCACCATGGAGAGTGGATTTAGGGTAATGACGTCTTCAGCAAAGCTGATGAGAATGACACGTTTCATCTTTTGAAGGCATGGGTTTTGTGATTAATCCCCCTAAAAGTGAAATGAAAAATTTATTTTTTTTTCATTATGTCGAGATAAATGGTTGACGCCTTCAGCAAAGTTGTAGCACAAATGGTTACAAATAACTTTGCTCAAGACATGAAAGTCATAAATTTCACTCAAATCGAGATAGAGAGCGTTGTTTGAGGACGGACCCCCAAAAACACGGTTGTTAAAAACCAACGCCACGTTCGATCACACGCACAGCGCACAGCCTACTCCTTTCTCATCTGCTATGCACTTTACGCCAACTAACTCGGTTTGTGACTGCTTGTCTCCAGTTCAACACTTCCTTGATCTTGTTCCACTTGGTCTAATAACCTAGCCCACTATCCGGCCAGATTCGAGGCAAACACCATTTTTGCAGGATTGTTATCCGGCATTGTCACAACGTGCTCCACCCATTGTACCCTTCCAACTTTAGCGACTTTTTCGATACTGGGTTCGCCATAGCGTTTCCTGTTTCACGTTTCAACCTGCTGTACTGCTCTGCCATTGCCAAATTGCGAATGAATAGGATGAATTTATTGAAAATAGTGCCCAGATGTAGAAGCCCGCTTGTTTAATAAGCGCAATATTGAAGAGGAGGCAGGAACGACCATCGCCTTTGCGTGTTTCAAACGAGTTCGATAATGCACCATATATTCGCCCAGCACTGTAGACCACCAATCATAGCCTCGATCAGTCGGGTCAGTTTCCAGGGAACATCGTGTGGCTCTTCACGCTCAATAGTATTGTAAACGGTATTGTAATCGATGAATAGGTTGTGCGTAGGAACTTGATGTTCGTGACACTTTGCGAAGTTCTGCAGTGAAGTGCTTCAAAGTACTACATCGTGAATTCACTGAGTTCAAGGTATTGTCTGTTTGTTTGCGCGTTTTGTTTCTAAAAAAAAACAGACAATATTGAATATTGAAAATTTATCGAAATTTCACAAGCTCGCTTTTCCTCCTAAACATTGGTAATAAGAACCCAGTGCAATGCTCTAACCAATGCTTCACCACCGTATTTTAATAACTCGCTTGATAGTTGGTCAACACCATATAGATAGCTGCTCCTAGATTCTCTGGAGTGCCGGACCGGGAACCGTCGTCATCTGCGTGTGCTCCAAACCACCTTCGTTCTCTGCAAGGTCGCCATTAAGGTGCTCGTCGTAGTACCAGTGCTTCCATCTCTCGATTACCTTACACTTGTTCTCTCTGGTCTTTCTGTTGGCGTTTCTTCCTCCGAAAGACCTAGTTTTGACTGTTCCGTGCTTATCTGTATCGTTCCACATTCGCTCTCGTACTGGGTGCTACAGCTGTCCCGTAGTTCCATGAACTTCGACTCGTGTTTTCGAGAGTTTTCGCATACTTTCCTCCGTTTTTAGTTTTGTTGTTTAAATAGATGTTGCTCATTTCGATCAAATTTGTGTACGAAAATGGAGTCTATATTTTAACTGGGAAATTTGTGAAGTGTGCTGAATTAACCTGTTAAAGCGCAAACAAAACGTTATACTGCAACAGGTTCTACCATTAAGGTAGAATGTCTTTCACCACAGTCATAAGTTAGAGAGAAACCCTTTTTGCTGTCAAAATTACAAGTTTGAGGTTATGAATTATCCTTACGATATTGCAAACTTCCTCGTTTTTTTATACAAATAAAACAGAATGTCCACCAGCAACCATACAACAACCAAAATAACCATGCCTATTCTATACAAGCTTACTAACTCATCTGTCACGTTCCTCCTCGTGCAGGGTCCCTCAAAACTAAGACATCTCACAACTAGAAAATCTTTAATCGAAATATTGTACAAAGTTCAAAATTTCCAAATTTTCAAACAAAAGAAAACGTTGCAACGTTCGATTGTTGACTTGCAAACAGAAAGACAAAACCGAAACCGAAAAATCGCCATCTATTCTTGCAGGAGTACACGGAAGAATTCCGCGACATTGCCAAGGGAATCAAGTCGAAAGAAGCTTTACCCGCTGCGCCGATAACGCTCATACATCAGCGACCCGTTGCCGAAGATTTGCATGTAATTTGAGTTTTTGATTTTTTATTTTTTTCTATCACCGTTTTTTGCACAACATCACACAAGCATAAATAATGCCAGGCATCACTTATCTAGAAATAGTTTTGTTGTTTTAGAGATTTGTTCTGTTTTCGATTAAGGAAAAAAAAACAGTAGGAGTAATCGGAAATGGTTAACAGTTGACTTTGGTGAACTTTTGCTCTGTAGGTTGTTCTCCTCCGTAGTTGCTTTCCTGGTTAGCAATTTAGATTAGACTACGCCTCCCGGTTTTTTGCATGCTTAAATATACATAGTTTTTGTTGCAGTTTCCAGTTACTTAACATTGTTTGAATCGTTTGTTATGCGAGTTTCTTTTCCTGTCGTTGAGAACCATCAACCTCCATGATGTTGAATAGTATATGATGGAGGTGCATTGCTTTGACCAGTAAATTCGTTTCAACTCGCAATCCTACAGTGTAGTTTAATGTAGTGTCATTTGTCGTTGCGTTGCATTAGTACCTAGATAGAAGCCGTTGTTCAGTAGAAACCGTAAACTGCTAGCTCGCACTCTAAATTTGGATCACAATCGTGACATGTTGCTAATTCTTTTCCCTTTTACAACTTCCATTGCTGCTCTCCGGTAAATCATTCCGCCAATAGGAATATCCACCCCCGGCGAGCAACAACAACAAGAACAGCATAAACCGCACTTCGGCACCGCTCAGTATTAGCAATTCGAATAGCAATGCCAACAACAGCAACAGCTCACAGCGGGCAACCACTCCTAGTCAGGAATCGCCCAAGTCGGAGAGCGCCTCGTTGAAGAACAGCGATGCGGCAATCACTCCGCCGCGGACTTCGCCATCACGTAGCGGAGGCGGCGGCGGTGGTGGTGGTACTGCCGTTGTAACGTAAGTACAACCAGGTCTTGGATTCTGATTCTTATGATAAACGTCCGATGTTCTAGGAATGGTACCAATGGAAAGGCAAACGATGCCCAGAACCCATTCGACGAGGAAGAAGAATGGGATGAAGGCGATGGGGCTGATAACATTCTGGTAGACAATGGCGAACCCGGTGTCCCAGTTAAGGCCCTGTATGATTACGAAGGTGCCGAAAGCGATGAGTTGACGTTCAAGATGGGTAGGTGTTTGTTGAACCAGTTGTTTCCTAAAACGAGCCAGACATTTTGGAACTCCCCCCCACCCATATTTTCAGGTGAAGTTTTCGAGAAGCTCGAAGACGAAGACGAGCAAGGTTGGTGCAAGGGACGTAAGGACGGTCGAGTCGGTTTGTATCCCGCAAATTACGTCGAAGCGACAGCGACGTAAAGCAACTAAAGGTAAACGAATTGGGAATGCATACCGCAGCGCACCACAACACATTCAGCCAGAACAGTCACGATGTGTGGTACTCGTGGTGTAGTTAGTTTGTTACGTTTATTTTAAAATTACCCGCGCACGTTCTAGCACCACCGCGAGATCAATCGCGCCAACTGGATCGTTGAGTCATTTTCTTTCAAATTTCTTTTCGAAGGAGAAATAAATTTTACAAAGCTGTATCTGCCTTATTTCAAAAGTATTTGAATTGAACGCTGGATGAGAGGAGAGTTTTTTTTCCGGCCGCTAAATTCGCTTCTAGGATTGACTAGACTAAGGAATGATTCGATTTGTAAAATGTTCTTTTTAGGTGATGTGTATAAGTTTTTGTTGAAGTAGTTCATAGGGAAAGCCTTTGCGGAAAGAGAACTAACAGGACTTTTACTAAAGTCCTGTGTTGTTTGGACATTTACTTGAAGTATCAATAGGGTTTACAATTATTCACAGTTGCGTCGATGCAATGTTTATATTTTTACCAAATTAGTTTTAAACCAGTCTGTACGTTTGCAAACTTTCGCGGGAATGGACGTAAGGAATTTAGAAGTCCAGGGCTGTTTTAAATCAGCAAACATGCTCACCCATAAACACATATGCATACATTTACGTACGTAAACTAGGATGGTACCGACTGAAGCGTTTACGCGAATGCAATTTTTCGGGATGAAACCCTCGCCGTGTGTGGAAATCAATGGAGATGAACATAGTCACGTTTGTTGAAATGTAGATTTATGAATTTAAAATGTAGAATGTATACAAATTGATAGAATCACAAATCAGCATGTTTAAGCTAAGCTGCATTTACAAGTAATACAGTTTCAAACTTGAATGACAGAGAACAGATTTTGATTCCATATACCTATCTACAAATCCAGATATAAGCCTCTGCATGTCCAGTTTCCAGCCTCCGTCTAGTAGTTTTCGTCATACTGAACCTAGCACTGAAAACAATCGATTTCTAATACAAGGAAAAGCATACAAAACATTGGAAAATTTGCCAAAAATATGAAGATATGGGACTAAACTATTACGGAACAAATACATACAAAGCATCTTTACAAATACAAAGACAATTACAACTGAATTTCACCATCGAATAATATTGAATCCACCAGTACTACTTGATTAGAGTCATAAAATCAAATCATACTTCTGTAGCAGCTCTGCTAGTATCAAATTGAACATTTCAAACGATTGCACGGCAGTTTCCCGAGCACTGGCTGTGCTCGGACCGAAATTGCCGTACAATCAGCAGCAAAACAAATTAGTCAAATGTATACAGTTGGTAAAGTCGATAAAAAAAAACACACAAACACACACAGATACACCTAGGACAATTTAAGGTTCAAGCTTGGTAAACGAAAAGCAAAATATGCTCTAGTAGGGAAAGTACAACAGTGAAGGTTTTCCTTGCGGTGCATTATAATAGCAATCGAACCGAAGAGAGTGAAAAGCTGCGAACGTAAACGTATCAGCGATATGATAAACTACTCTTAAACGGGATTAAGTGAACGAAACGGCAGTTGAACCGAGAATGTTATTGTAACATATTATGTTTGAGAAATATTCTATAAACAAAGGAAACAGAGCAAAACATATTAGGATTTAGTAGACGATAGCGAGATTTAAGTTATTTATATATAACTAGTGAAGTTAAAAAATACCACCGTCCAATTTATTGTGAAAGAAACTCCCACTCCTCCACTCTAATATAACAATTTAACGTCCTTCTTTTTGAGAATCGTCCTGAAACTCTCAGCCGACACTTTGTTCATATCGCAGGTCTCCAGCTTCCTAGCTTTCTTCCACGCGTCCGAAAACGTCCGCTCATCCAGGTCGAAGTTTCGAAAGATAGTTTTGATATCTTCGCTCCGTCTAGGCAGGAAGTAGTCCACGTGGCCAAGTCCGAATGATGTTCCTGGTTTCGGGGAAATAAGATCTCCGGCTGTATCGTAGTCCTTGAATTTATCCGATCTAAAACGCATTTCCATCAGATGATTCTGATTGATATCCGGCTCGCGTTGCAATTCGCGGAAATCAACTTGCGAGCAATCCTCCTGGAAAGGCTTGATCAGACGGCCGAATTTGTATCCGGACAAGGGTACGTGATGATCGAACAAATCCCACAACTTTTGAATGTTCTCCAGATTGACATGTTCAAGGTTTAAAATATCGATTACCGGTCGGATTTTTGAATAATCAATATGCACAGTCGCTGCTGAACTTAACATCTGTATCGCATCTTCGGCCAGATTTCCTTGCGTTTCAGTTTTTCTGCAAATATCAATCGCAGACTTATCTTTCTTAATCAGAGCAGATCTAACTTTGTTCAGATAATGTATTGCTTCCTGAAGCGACAGGAATTTTACGTCCAGATCTCGATTTACAATCAAATTTGAATTTGCTCGTCTATGCTGGACTCGTTTGTAATATCCATTACCAGAGGATCTTCTGTGCTGCTGCACAGGATTTCCGACAACCTTTTCTTCCGGTGCTGCGCAGGCCTCGTATTTCAATGCCTTCCAGGTTCGTCCGCCAGTAGGATCACTATTCGATTTAGTACCATGGGTCCGCAGCTTCAACGATTCCACTTCTTGGTCCTTTGATTCTCGATCTTGCTCCCCTTCCTCTTCACAAGCAGGATACATGATCTTCCGCATATCCATATCGGAGGCAGTAACGATCCCGTGCGTCAATCGTTTTGTTTCGCTCAAATTTCTAACGGATTCCAAATTGCGCTGCCCGCCAGTAGCAGATTCCTTGCGATCGCTTCGACCAAGTAATTCAATCGGTTCCTCGTCCGGGTTCTGTTCGATGATATTTTTCACCTGGGTGTAGTATCCATTGATGATGGGATGGATGTGACCGGACAAATATACTTCTTGGTCGGCCGGCTGGAACGAGCATTGATACGAAGAGTCGTACTGGTGGTTGATGGCTTTCGAGCCATGATGGGCTAGAAGTTGGGAAATTTTATCCACTGGTCGGTGAACAATGGATCGATGCGTTCGAGGTGCCATTTTGTGTCAGAAGAATTCCGTTGCATAGGCTGCTTTGATCACTTAATCATCCTTTTGTAAAGTCCAATTAGAGGTTGATTTCGGATCTCTAGATCGTTTTAAATAAACTTGTTTTCAGCTTGAAGCTCGAAAATCGAATGCGAGCTCTCAGTGTTGTTTATTTGCTTTTGTAACTTTGATAGCGTTACAAAAGTATTACTGATTCGTTTTCCAGTGGGTAATATCTTTTCAGATCGAACGTTTCATTTGTTATCTTCGTCATTAGACGAGTACACTTCGACAGTGAGCATTAATAAGAGCGAATACGCGATGATCGATTCTCTTCATCGATTTTCTCTTTGCATTGCTACAGCTAAGCGAAACAATTTTCAAGAATTTGTTCAATGCAGAGTAGTAACAGGTTGTATTGGCTATCAAAAGCAACAGCAAACGCACCGAGAAACGTTAAATCTAGCGAGTTATTAACAAAAGAGAAAATCGACGAAGAGAATCGATCATCGCGTATAGGCCCTTATGCATGCTCACTGTCGACTTCACCTTTCAAGGCCAACAATTGAAAAGCCTCAACTCCATTTTGTAAACAAACCTTGGAAGGTCATTTTCTCGCGAACCGAAACCGACATTCGCAAACCTTAAACACAATCGTGTAGAGCAGAATTTCCCCTACCTGTTCGTTTTGTTGATTTGCGTTGGTGGACTTCAGTTCGCGAGAAAATGGCCTTATACCAACAATCAATACGAAACTAACGATTTTAAATTGGCTCACCACTTTAGTAGCCTATTGGTCCCAAGCAAATGATTAACGTACCCTATTCTAGTTGAAATTCTATTACTACACTATGTTTGTTTTGATTCGCTATGAAAGTTTGACAGATAACATCAGGGGTGTGTGGATTCATGCAGAACATGCAGGGGTGAGTGAAATAGCTTGGGACGGCTTGGGACCGTTGCTCTGGTACTGAGTGAGCCAAAAATAATAATGATTTTCTTCGGGACCCAGTGGTCTTAGAGTTACCTCTATGCTTATACCACAAACGAAGTGACAGACGGAGCGGCTCGAAAACTTTGGTGACTAACCTGCTATTGCAATTTTTCAGTGTACCACATGGCAACACCACTACTACTGGATTGTACCACAAGGCAACACTACTACTAGATTGAACTAGCATTTTCACCAAATGTACTAGAATGTTTTGGTTCTATCTCTTTCACTCTACTCAAAACTGAAATGCATAAAAAATGACAAAATGATACGCACTCTTTGCACACTGTCAAAGAATCATTGTACACAAAATCAACTTTGTTCAAATCAAAACAAAATTACTAACCCATCTGGCGGATGATGGCACAAGCTTCCAAGAAAATTCTATTACAGTGAACCACATTATTTAAATGGATTTCTTCGCCAGTTAGTCGTCTGTCACTTCGTTTGTGCTTATACCCCGTTCACATTACAGCCTATATCACGTAATATAGCCTGTCTTGCAATGAGCACTCATACATAGGATTTCCTGTGAAAACTAGATCAAGTGATCACGTGATATACGCTGTAATGTGAACGGGGTATTACAATGTTTGTTTACAAAATTGAGTTGAGGCCTTTTCAATTGTTGATCTAGCTTTCTGCATTTCGAATTCAAGACTTGACTTGACTTTTAATTATAGATACTATAGAATCTATAGTATCTATAATAATAATTATTAATCCTGCCGCGTGTCCTGTCGTCATTTTCTGTTTTGGAGAACGAGGGGCCATACAACTTCAGACATATTTGCAAATATCATCAAAGATTTCAAAATATCAACGAACATATTAAAATATTTCCAAAAACATCTACAAGATAGAGATTTCTGTGCTGAACAATGAGTAAACCGTAGCTTCTTCTTGAAACAAACAAAGGTTCAAGCTCTTAAATTTGTTGAACCTCTAACGGAATCCCTTTATGAAGAGCTTTCATTTAAATTCCGTTATAATTGCTTATCTTTTGACAGATATACGTATTTCGTCTACTACTTACAGACTTCATCAGAGGTGTTGAGTACTTGGCACTGATGAAGTCTGCAAGTAGTAGACGAAATACGCGTATCTGTCGAAAGATAAGCAATTATAACGGAGTTTAAAGGAAATAAACCAACACACTCAAAGCTCTTCATAAACGTGGAAGCTTTGTAGGTTGCGATTCTATCAATATCGTTCGAACGTTCTTGAAAATCCTTTGATCGCACATAACGATGTGCTTGTTGTGATATGCGCAGTACAGAGAAAGGAAAATAACGTGTAGTACGGTTGACTAACCAACTCGGAATGAAACTTTATTTCTGCTTGATGTGGTATACAGCAATGAGTGTATTTGTGTATGTGAAAGGAAGAGTGTCAAGAGAATATATATAGCACTGATATAAAAACGATCCTGTCTTTGTTGTGATTGAAATGACAAGAGTCTAACACTCCTCCTCAACGAAGACGGTATCGGTAATGGACCTGATGCCGATCGCGTTCCTGTGTCTCTCTAACTTGATCCGCTCCAAGGGCTTAGTCATCATGTCCGCTTCCATTTCGGATGTTGGAATGTACTTCAGATCGATGACTTCACGTTGCTGGAAGTGTTTTCTGGGCCGCGGGCTACGGGTGTTCCATCTATGAATCTTGCATCACGACTTACAATGACTTTCTTCGTTGATCGATCTAGGAACCTGTAGGCCTTATGTTCCGCAGAATAGCCCACAAACGTTAGCTTTTGGGCTGTTTCGCTGAGCTTCTTGCGTTTTTGTTTCGGTATGTGAACCCACGCGGTACTGCCGAAGACTTGCAGATGACTCACGTTCGGTTTCACGTTGAACCACAGCTCGTACGGGGTTACACTCACAGATTTTGACGGGAGAATATTCTGGAGGTACACCGCTGTACTCAAAGCCTCTGCCCAATAGCACTGCGGAAGGTCAGCCTCAAATAACAAACATCGAACCATCTCCACAAGATAGCGGTTGCGACGTTCAGCCACTCCATTCTGCTGTGGGCTATACCCCGCTGTAAACTGGGCACCAATCCCCTGTCGTTTGTAGAAATACCGCAGCCGCTTGCTAGAGTATTCCCCTCCTTGATCCGATCGCACAATTTTCGGACTGCGACCGAAGTGGTTCTTCACATACACAGCAAAAAAAGTTGTTGAATATTACATCGAAACTGCTGCAACCAGGTCAATCTATCGGTTGTGCAATATCACATTGTACGATGTACATCGATTTTGCGAACAAAATTACATCCATTGATGTAATATTGTATCTGCTTTTTGCTATTACATCATTATTTCATACATCAGCTTGAATTACGTTGATCGATATTACATTTTTTTTTGCTGTGTAGGCGACGTACTCTTCCATCTTGTCGGCCACTTCCGACTTCTCCTTCAGCAGATACACCGTACAGTAACGAGAGAAATCATCAATTACCGTCATAAAGTATCGGTATCCGCTCACCGAAGGGACTTCCACCGGGCCGCACACATCGGTGTGAACGATATCTAAGGGGGCCACGGTTTGCGATTTGGAATCTTTAGGGAATGGAATACGTGTACTCTTACCTTTTAGGCAGCATTCACAAGGTTCATCTACGACACACTCGACTACCTCAAGTCCATTCACTAGGTTGCGCTTTTTCAAAATCCTGATGGCATTCGGCTCCCGATGGCCAAACCTCCTGTGCCAAACGTGTTTACAATTGGCGTTGTGTTGGCTCTTCGCTACCAAAACAACCTCGTCGGGCCGCTTCAGCTGGTACAATCCCTGCTTGAGACCGGCCACCGCTACTGTCACGTCATCTCGTTTGATTTGGCAACCACTGGTGCTGAAAACCACTGTCGCTTGCTTCTGTATGAGCGCTGACACCGAAAGCAAATTCATCGCCAGAGTGGGGATGTACAACGCCGAACTTAGCTGCATCTTCCTGCGTTCACCTTTTTCGTCACAGCACTCGATTTCCCCGCATCCTTCGCCTTCCACTTTAGCCACTTTTCCGTCCGCCAGTTTAACGTACTTCACATCACTAGGGCGCAATTCAACGAAAAAATCTCGGTCCGCGACGGTGTGGCTCGTAGCGCCAGAGTCAATAATCCAACATTTGTCCATATTGTCACTCCCGGTAACACAGGTCACGAACGCAAACGAAACACTATCTTCTTTTTTCTTGGTGCGCTGCGGCTGAGCATTGCTCCGCTTTTCCGCCTCCCGAATGAACTGCCGGCAAAACTTTTGTTTATGTCCCGGCTGCTTGCAGAAATGACAGATGATCTGCTTCTTATTTCTGCTTTCCTCCTTAACCTTCAACACTGAGTCCGTCTCAGAGCCCTGACGCTTGGCAGCTTCGTCCAAAAGTTTCCTTTTCACCAGCTCCAACGTAAGGTCGGCTTCTGCCCGGGTCTCGAGGGCAGTTGTCAATGCGTCGAACGAGCTCGGAAGACTTCGCAGGATCATTGCGACAGCGAGGTTTTCTGCCAACTCCTGCCCGGCGTTAGCCAGCCGTGAAAACAACTCCTCCATGGCAAACACATGCTCCTCCATACTTTCCCCCTCCGAGTAGCGTTTATCGCAAATGCGTTTCAGAAGGGAAACTTTGGAAGTTAGGCTGGTTTTCTCGTGGTGATTTTTCAATGCCAGCCAGGTTAGTCTTGCGGTTCTCACAGCACGAATCAGGCTATGCTGATTATCATCAATCAGGAGCCCGATGGTTGCTCTCGCCTTTGCGTCCCCTGCATCCCAAACGCCAGCTGCTTCGGCATCCGGCTTTACTCCTGGCTCAACATAGCGCCAAAGCTCCTCGCGGATGAGTAGCAGCTCCACTTTAAAACGCCAACTGGGGTAGTTTATGTTGTTTAATTTCTGGATGCTAAAACGGGATCCATCCATTTTGTTGCACTCCGACGAAGGCTGCCGCGACGAACAACAAAAACCGCGACGAAAAATTTAACAAATTCCGATCGAGAAAAAAAAAACCGAAAAAAATGGCGTCACTTTTGTATTTTCTCCGCGCGCAGGCCCATAACCTGTTGTGATATGCGCAGTACAGAGAAAGGAAAATAACGTGTAGTACGGTTGACTAACCAACTCGGAATGAAAACTTTATTTCTGCTTGATGTGGTATACAGCAATGAGTGTATTTGTGTATGTGAAAGGAAGAGTGTCAAGAGAATATATATAGCACTGATATAAAAACGATCCTGTCTTTGTTGTGATTGAAATGACAAGAGTCTAACAGTGCTATGGTGTATAAGCTAAGATATGCTCAATCTGGATCACCTTAGAAACGTTGAACTCTGACTGGTCTTCAGAGCAGTACCCTTGATATGAAATGCCCTATAGAGCAAGCTTCAAGACTTGACTCAATATGTCTAAGCAATCGTCTGACACGTTTTATTTTATAGAAACGAATGATTGGCACAATGTGTAAACAGGTTACCCCACGACTTCACTGATGGACCAACATTTTGCATCAGGTTAAGAACAAGGAGGCATTAATGACCTAAAATATTAAGGTGGGCAGCGTTGGAAAAGTTCGTGATATTTCACAAAGCCCATTCGGAGGTGGTTCAAAGCTGAGTGCCTTGGTCGAGAAAGCATGCCAAATCAAGTGAACCAGAGAATTTCATTCACAGCAATAGTTTATTTTTTCCCACCATTCATTACTCTTGTCGGTTACTATCATCGCTGTCATCCTCTTTCGCTTGCAGCTGCCACTCTCCCATCAACCGGTTGATCAGATTGCTGCTATCGCCTTCGGCACCGCCGGCACCGGACGAAGTGGAAGCTCCGCCCAATGTGCCTTGAAACATATCGATAACATCCTGCGGGAATCCGTAGTTGTTTCTCCGGTTCGGTTGTATACCGCAATCCTCCGGAAGGTAGCGGAATTCGGGATCGTCTTCCTCCTCGATGGTGGCCGTCGCTGCCTCCGCATCCAGTTGATCGTAGTCAAATGCCAGACTATCGGAATGGCCTTTTCCGTACAGGGAAAAATCCATTATCACCACGTGATCCTTCGCCGGACGATAGACGTCGAATACATCTGGGGGCAGCAATTTAGGAATTGGGAAAATAAGTTCTCCGTGAACGTATGCAAAGACAATACACTTACAATCTTTCAAAGGAAAGCTTTCCTTGATCTTTTCCTTGTACAAGGAAACTATATCACTGACTATGTCGCTTCGCTCAGCAGCTATGTGTTCGTGGTACGATGGCCAATGCCTGGGTGAAATTGCCACCAGTGATTTGTTCTTCACAAAGCATCGGAACTCCGATCCCGGGTGGATGTCCCGCCACTTTTTCAGTACAATGTGATACCCACTGGCATTGACGGGGGACCTCTCGGCGAAATCGTCCTTGCAGAAGCTGGACGCTTTCAACAGTTGATACAGATCGGTGATGTCTTTCACGCAGAGCGACTGCCCCAGGGTGATCCACTGGGCATCTTTCGGGCAGTGCCAATCGCTTTTCGGGAAAGCCGATCCACCCAGTTTCTCAATGGCATCGGCAAGCATCTTACTGAAGGCCGGGAATTCTGGCAGATCTGCATCATCATCGTCGTCGCTGAATTGGTCGTCGTATGAATTATAATGCTTAACTTTGTTGGTCTCCGATGAATGAAGATTGGAACATTCTTTCGGCAGAATTACCATGTCCTGTCGAAGATACGTCAGGACATCGTCCGGAATCGGAATGATGTAGGATTTGATGGTGTTCTTTTTCAGCTGGTCGTACCAGTTCACCAACATGCAGGCGGCCTTCTCCAATTCGATATTTCGGAGCAACATATTTAATCGGATCTCACAAAAGCGCTTATAATTAGAAAATTATTAGAGAAAATCTGATGAAATTTTGATTGAATGTGACGCGTAATATGTTTATAGGCAATGGTCTTAGCCGTCATCAGACAACAGCAAACAAACAAACAAAATAATATGCTTCTGTTTTTCTCGTTTTTCTGCTTTGTCGCAAACTATCAAACGCACGTGTATCACAGCAGAGTCGCTGCAAGGGATTTGTTTTCACTTTTGCTGGTCACCGTGAATCGACAAAGTCGACAAAAGCACAGCAATGTCATAAAATTAGCAAACGTCAAACTTCCTCCATTCGTCAACGTAAACACAGGAAAATTTGTAAGATTATTCTTTAATTATCACCATTTTTACGGGAAAATACGGTGCAAAATATTGTTTTATTGTTGATAGTTGCAAGTGAAAACAACGATGGATCGCAACAAACCGAGCTCCAGTGCTCGGTCTACAAAAAAACAGATTGGATTGCCACAGAGTGAATTGTTTGCGCTGGGATCGAAATCCGGCACCAGTTCCCGTGATGATCCGAAAAACAAACCGGGTGTCAGTGGAGTTTCGGAACGCAAGCGGGATGCTGCGGCGCTGGCTAGTGCAGTGGCCGCCAAGAAGATCAAACTTAGCTCAACGAGTGGATCCGGTTCGGTAGGCTCTACGTTGCCGGGGACGAGCAAGCCGTCATCCGGCGGGGATAGTTCCAGCAACAGTAGCGTGTTGGAGTACTGGGAACAGATGGCCCTGGACTGTGAATCGGTGGATTTGGTTTCTTCGGTGCTCAGTGCTATCGACCAGCAGGACAGTGACAGCGTGGTGGGATATATTTGTGGAGCAATCAAGTTGTTGATATCCCCCAAGTCAAAGTCGGAATCGGTGCTGTCGTTGTCACTGTTGTACTTGGCTAAGATAAGACCGCATCTATTTTGTAACGACACGATAACATCGGCGTTGATTGCCGTTTTGAAAAGGGACACTCAAAATTCGTTCAAAGGTCGGAACAATCCAACTGTCCACATTCTGGCCTGTAATCTGCTGGCCAGGGGTTATAGCGATAAGAAACAGTGGCCAGAGAGTTTGATCAAAACCTACGTCGAGGATGCAATCAATGATCGCGTTTGGGTTGACTACGAAGAATGTGCACCGCTCACGGATAACTGCGTTGCTGCTTTCGGAACGAAGATCCCTCCCAAGTGGATGCTACAGCCGGAACTTAGTGCGTTGAATCCAAATGCCAGGGAGAATCCGGCGATCGACGATGAACACTCGACCGACAGTGGAATGTTTGGCGATGCTCTGGGGAAGGATCCGGACGCGAATCCGCCGCGTTTCGCACACATTCAGGAGCAGGTTGAGAAGATTGTAGTCGAAGCTGCGAAGGACCAACTCAATCGCAGGCAAGCTCCCGACTGTTCGACGAGAAACTTTTTAAAATTCCTATCATTGGGATGTGGATTACCGGAGGTGAGAGCATTGGCCATTCCTCGGCTGGAACTTTGGATTCACAATGGAAAATTGATGAAGCCTGCCCAGGAGTTGCTCACCTTCATTTGCTACAACGTAACGGGACAGAATCCAAAAGATCACGAAGTACTGTCCAATTTGGTGAAGATGCGACTCAAGACGAAGCCATTGATAAACATCTTTATGATTTGCCTGAAGGAGATGATCAACTGTCAGTCGGAAATTTTGAACATGATGCTGAAGTACGTCGTTCAGAATGAACTCTCGAATGCTCGAAACCCGAACAACATGGGCATGCTGGCGACCATGTTTCAGGCTAAAGCAACCGAGTCGGCTACCCATCTGGCGGAAATCTATCAAGAATGTTTACTTCAAAGGGAAGATGTCCTCAGAACGCTACGAGTGTTTCTTCGAGAATTGGTCAAAATGCTTCGCTATGACATCAATTTAATGATATTCTCCAAGGCACTGCTCACGACTCGAGCCGATTTGAAACCTCAAGTGACGAGTTCGGAGTTTCGTGATCGCATCTTCCATTCCGTTGTCGATTTGGTATGTCTCTGCATGTTCCTGTCGGTTTCTCCGCAAATTCGAGAAGCCAATGCATCCATTCGCAGCGGAAGAGAGCCTAAGAGCTCCCCGGCGCTGACGACTTTCTATCAGCAAATGTCCACGATCCAATTCGATACGCTCACCTGGATGCACGAAGTGGTTCCGGTCATGTACAAACCATCGCCCAACGATTTCAAAATAGCTTTCCATAAAATGCTTTTCTTGGATTCTCCGGAAGCTTACGCGAAAGGCGATCAGTGGCCACCGGAACCGGAACGAGCTCCGCTATTGAGAATAGTTTCGGAAATTCCTCTGCAGCAGAACTCAATGCTTCGCATAATCCTCATTGGCATAACCAAGGAAATTCCCTTCACCATCCCGGACACCATGGAAATCATCGAGCAGCTGGTCCGTCGCGCCGGATCGCTCCGTCACGTCGACTATCCCCCACTGGATGTGGCCAACCTCGAAATCATCGATCTACTCTTCAAAATGTCCGAATATCATCATCCGGACAACATTGTACTCCCACCAAATTACGAACCTCCAAATCTAGCCATATCATCGCTATACTGGAAAACCTGGATTATCCTGCTGCTCATTTCCGCCCATAATCCATCAATATTCGGATCATTCTGCTGGGAGCAGTACCCTATGCTGCGCACTCTGATGGAAATGTGCATTACCAATCAAATCGGACCGACCAAGTCATCCGATGAGGAACTACAGGTCGCCACCGCAGAAAAGTGTCAGATTTTGGAATTCGAAAACCACCTGGCATCGAACGTTATCAACGAGCAGAATAGCCTTTTGCTGTCCCAATTGATTCTCATGGATCCCCGAGGTGTGGCTAGACGTCCTCCGAATCACGTGCTGGAACAAATTCAATCACTGAACGTCACTCATCGGTTGGGTCATCTGCTGTGTCGTAGTCGAAAGCCGGATCTTCTACTAGAAATCATCCAGCGGCAGGGAACCTCCCAGGCCATGCCTTGGTTGGCAGATCTCGTACAGAACAGCGACGGTGACTTCAACCATCTACCAGTGCAGTGTTTGTGCGAGTTTCTGCTGTCCAATTCGAGTACCGTCATTGTGGAGAACAGCCGCGAGGCGGAGCTGCTGGTCTATCTGCAGAAGGTGGTTCAGGACGAAAATGGGGACCATCAAATGAACTGCGAAATCATGGAGTACTTTTTACGGCGGTTGTCGTCGTTCTCGAACCAATCCCGGCAGTCGGCCATCCGGGGATTGAAGCTCCTGTTGAAGGTGAGTTTTCTAAGATGTCTGATAGTTTGAAACCCGACGCTTTAACTTTACTCGTATTCCCACAGGTCTTTCAGGAAGAAAATGATCCGGTCCCAATAGAGAGCAACAACTCGGATTGGTTGCTACGCTATCTGCCGACAATTCCGCACTTTGTGTACGTGCGTCCAAACGTGGTCGTACAGCTGCGGGCCGCTTGCCAGGTGGAAAACTCCCCCGAACTGGTTATGGTCTACATCCAATTTATAGCCGCTCACACATCGATGGACTCGGAAGCGGACATGCTTGAGCACGTCATGGACATGTCCCATCTGATCGTCGAACGGAGCACTATCTTTTCGCACATCATTCCGACGGCGACGGATCAGAGCGAGGCACGGGTCCAAACCCTAAACTGCCTGTTTGTTATGTTCAACAACTTCCTTATCAAGTTGAGGGAGTACAAAATAACTCAAGCTTTCACCGAGTACCAGGATCTGCTGTTGGTGCAATTCGCCGACGAAAGTCAATGTCACATTCACTTGAACATCATTCAAGCTTTCGTGATACTTTTGACCCACTCGACGTTCATCCCGGTGGCGGCGCAAATCTTGGATTACTGGTTCCCGGAAGAAGCTCCACCACCGCAGGCGTTCAACATCGAGACGTCCGAAGCGGTACAGATTCTACCCGATTGGCTCAAGCTGAAAATGATCCGTAGCAACGTGGACCGTTTGGTCGATGCAGCTCTGCAAGGATTAACTCCGGATCAGATCGTCCTTTTCGTCCAGAACTTCGGAACTCCTATCAATTCGATGTCTAAACTGCTGGCCCTCCTGGATCGGGCCGTCATCGAGCAGTTCGACGCAGTGAACAACGCCATCCTGCACAAAAAATACCTTACGCAGTTGGTGGAAATCCAGCAAGCTAGAGGTGCGAAAAATGGACACATTTCCATCCAAGCCTTGGAGTTGGACAACCAGCCAATCGGTGATCCTCCGATGATGACCCTAACGGTTATGGAACCCCTGCAGATTAATTTGAACGATGAGGGCCGAACGCGAACCATTTCCGAACAGAGCAAGCCTGCTTCCAAGACCAAGGAGATCGAAGAAGCTGTGGAGATCGTACTGACTCACCCGGCTATTAGCAAACCGAACATGGCCAAGTACCGGAAGTTGATACAACGCTTGAATAGTGGTGGAAAGTCATCCAAATCGCAGGAGTACACGGCCAATAAGGTGCTCAACTACTTGGGAAGGTTGATCAAGAGCCCCCAGGGCCAGTATCTGATCAAGAATTGGATTCAGAATGCTCAGATGTGTTGCTTCTTCCGTTCGCTGTTGGCCATCCCGCCGGAGAAGTTCGAAAATCTAAACTATTTGCTGCACATTCTTGACGAGATCATCAAGTACATGAATCCCGCTTCGAATACGGTTCTTCTGCAGGTAATTTTCACCTTGTTCAAGATTTATTTAAGGCAGTGGTTCTTATTTGTTTTCCATTGGCATAGGTATTGGTCGGCAAGCGTCAGCAGCTGATAAAGATAGCGCAGAAAGACAATCTTCAAGGACAGGGTTCGTCGAAAAATCTCCTTCAGGTCCTCACTACCAACAAGGCATCGGAAGTTGAGCGCGAGGGTAAGCTGCAGCTGCGTCAAACCGGCACCGAAGAGATGATCAATGTGATTTCCACCTTGCTCAAAAGCGGGCAGGGTATCAAGATGGAAATCCAGGAGTTGCAATTTGACAAACGTGGACTGTTGGTCGATTGGCTGGCGGATGCCGATTCGGAGCTGGTTCACGTCAACAAGGACATCCAGATGGACATGCTGTTCAACCGAAGTCTCGGTGATTTCCGACCGTACTTGCTGTCGCTGATGGGCCATCAAGCTAGCTGGTCAACGCTCCACGAGACGGTGGATTTGCTGATGAAAAAGTTTAATTCAAATTATGATCCATGTTCGGTGCTAGACTTTATCGATACCTTGACGAGAAATCCCAAGCTTTGGCAAGGACGGGATAAAGCCGTTCCAAAGCACGAGCAGGTGGAGTACATTGTCATGTTGAGTGAGAAACAGGTGAAGACCTTCATTGATTATATCCTCGCCGAGGCCAATGAAGACACTTTGTGCGAACGTGTGAAATTGCTTCTGCAATGCGTGGATTGCAAGTCTGATTACCTGTCTATAATGGTTGACTATGCAGATGGTAAAACGGATGCCTCGTCGAAGAAATTCATGCAGCAACTATATCTCAACATTCCACCGATGAAGTTTTTGATGCCGCACATTGAAGGTGTCTACGATGCAGATGTACGCAATGCCACCGGTTGCGTTGGGGATAAGTTCGCTTACTACATCCTGACTACGATTGCCTGCTTGACGAACCCGAGAGACTTTCAACAGATGTCGGCAGAGATGGAACTTATTGTCAGAAAGCTCGCGGCGTCTCATCCCGTTCTACTGCTGCGTCAGCTCTCCGTTCTGGCTACCTTACTCCAGGGTAGAGCTCACATGGACCTGTCGGTACTTCGCGCCGAGTATCACTTCCATCTGTTCCACCAGGTTATGGGAATACTGGAACTGCTTCAACCACTGGTATTCGAAGACAGCTACCACAATGGACTTCAAAACGCTTTGAATTGCTATTTTGCGCTGCTGAGAAATTACGGCAACGTCAAGGAAACCTACACTTTGATCTACCGTTTCATGGAATTCCTTCATGCCTATATCGGCACCAATCCTAAAATGGCAATCAGTTTCATACAAAACTTTTCCGATCTCCTAAACGATCTAGCTCATCAACATTGCGACCTGCAATCGCTCCAGCAACTCGTTCAAGGTCTGTCGATGTTCAAACAGCGGACATCTTCCAGTCCGGCGGCGATCAGATCTGAACCGGAGGAACCTACGCCGGGAACGTCCAAGGATACCAAACCGCCACCCGCAGACTCCACCACAACAAGCACGAAGTCCGCGCAGCAAGCAACAGCCGCGATAATGATGTCCACCTACGTGAAGAACGATGTCCTGCCCCAGCACTGGCAGGAACTAACCCACGCGCTTCGGTCCCGTGAAATCGATGACATTGTCACTCCGATGCAGGAGATTGACGCACTGACCGTCAAACGTCCGGCCTTGCTGGAAGACATCTTCGATGAAATCATCCGTTTCCTTACGCACTCGTCGGGACCGATCCGTCAAACGGCTCACGGATTGATCACACGTTGGCTCAAGCAGAACCCTGGAAATTTCTCCACCAATAGCTCGGCGCTGACGGCGTTCGTGCAGTGTCTCTACCACGAAGACGTCGCAGTGGTACAGACTGCCCTGGACAAGACCACCGAGTACGCACTCTGTCTGCAGGAGTATGCACCGCAGATTTTGATGACCATGTTCAACTTGGGCATCAACAACAAGATCAACACGTACACAGCGATCAAACGGTGCGTGCAGGCGATCAAGAAACAGCATGCCTGTTGAACGTGGGGTAATCATGAAATCTCTTGATGGAAAGTAATTATATCTTATACTGTAGTGAAATAAATGTTTCAACTAATCGAACTGCGGGCTGTTTCTAGTATCCAGTAGTGCTGTCTTCGTATCGCGTTAGGATGCATGCACTCGATGCCATACAATGAGTTTTCAGAATAATTGTCCAGGCTCCTCACCTGGTGTGAAATTATGAACCCACTGGTGATTGCAAACTTTGAGAAGTTTCTGGAGCTAAACCCGCAAACTCGTTTTATGTCATTGTACTACATGTACATAACACAGGATGTCTACCCTTAGCAGCATAATCCCAATTGTGTTTGCTTCTCCGACTTCGACAATTCTGTTCGCGAGAGATTCGTGATCGATTGCTCCATGATTGCTTCGCAAGATCGTTATTCACATATGGATCATCAATAGAGGCGTCCGCTGGTTTTGGTATTTATCTCGGTATTTATAACGAATTTCATAGCGCCTCTCGAGTGCTCCTTGCTCTGTATATGTTGCTGAGCTGGCGGCAATACATTATACGCTAGTAACTATCGTCTCACTCCCACCGAATGACTATTTTATTTTTACGGATAGTCTCAGTTATGTAGAGGCTATTCGCTCCATGAAGCTGATAAAGCACTCCTCGTATTTGCTCATGGGATTAAAAGAGCTTCTATTCCGATTCGGGGCGTCATTTAACGACCGAAATGAGAACCAGCGGTGGAGATGCTTTACATGATATAGAGCTTTTTGACGTTTAATCAGCGCACACTAATGCACCATTTAAACTGAAGGAGTGTGAGCAAAAGAGAAACAGATTAGTGGGAAAACAAACCATCCATTCATCCCTGTGTGCTGGATAGAGAAAGGCGATTAAACCAGATACGTTAAATAGAGCTTTTTGACGTTTAATCGGCGCACACTACTGTACTACTTAAAGTGAACGAGTGCGAGCAAGAGGGAAACAGGTTAGTGGGAAAACAAACCGTACATTCATCCATGTGTGCTAGATAGAGAAAGATGATTAAACGTCAAAAAGGTCTATAGAGACACGCATAGACTGAAGCAAGAAGAACCAAACGAGCAAAGTAAATAAACATTACTCAATTCACCAGAAAGTAGTATCAACAATCAATACGAAACTAACGATTTTAAATTGGCTCACTACTTGACTAGCCTATTCTGCCGGTAATCGCAAGTCAGTCCCATCTGCATTTTTATCAATTTTGAGTTAGCATCATTATTCAGTTTATCTTTCTATGTTTTTTGAGATGTGCTATTGAAATAAGGTGGTTTGTTCAAGAAAAATGAAAAACAATACCAAGTCAAATTGTCCCACACCGAAAAGTAGCCGCAAGTCAGTCCCATTAAAAAAAATATGTTAGAAATGTTAGACAACACATCGCATCATGAGATTTGTATCAAGACAGATTTTGACTACTTCCCCTAGGGTATCTGGAACATGTCCTGATCTGGCCAATATAGTTCTTACGATACTCAGTTTGACCGCCAATGGATATAGATTTGAATTCTCATGTGATTTGATGTATCGCTTGATGGATTTTGATTTAAAAAGGATTTACCACTTCCCCGGGGATACCCGGAACATGTCCGGGTTTGGCCAACATGGTGCTGGTCACTGATCATGACTCTGATTTTATTTTTTAAATTCTCATGTGAATTGATTTATCGCATGGTGGGTTTGGCACGTTTATGAAAAGCTCTGGTCTGAAGACCCATACTTACCGGAATATGTTCCAGCCATTGCTCTGGAACCAGCAAAACAAATCCAGAAACATTCAATAACGTTCTATGGGACCATCCCGCATAAGCGCGAACCATAAATTGACCTTACCTAAAATGGTTATAAATTGTTTATAATCCCTGCTAAACTTCAACTGAAATGGTTATGGAACTTTACATGAACGTTTAATGATAAAGTTTTAACCTTAAGTATTATAGTTTTTTGGAAGTGGACCTTACAAATAATGGGTTGTTAAGAACCATTACCATTCAAAATTCTTGTTTTCTCCATACATTTTCGGGAGGAGGACTATATTAGAACATTTTAACTTATGGTTTGAGAACATTAATGGTAATGGTTATGGTAACCAGTAAGGTCCATGAATGGTTTTGTAACATCGATCAACTTTATGTGGAATATATCGCGAATTGGTTGCCTGCAAATTACTGATTACCAATTCACGATATATTTCACGTAAAGTTGAGCGATAATACAAAACCATTAATGGACCTTACTGACAACCATTACCATAACCATTAATGTTCTCAAACCATAAGTAAAAACGTTCTAATATAGTTCTCTTTCCGATAATGTATGGAGAAAACAAGAATTTGGAATGGTTTTAATGGATTATAAACAATTTATAACCATTATCGGTAAGGTCATGTGATGGTTCGCGTTTATGTGGGATGGTATCTTTCTACTGTTCAATACTGTGCTAAACTAATGCAGCATCGTCATGGAATTGTGACTGACTTGCGGTTATTTTTCTCATTGACGTTAAATGTAATCGCAAGTCAGTCCCATTCAGATTTTGGCCATAAAATAAAAATTTCACGATATTTTTTTCAATATTTTATGGTAAACATACATGCATTCTATCACATTGTACGTTCATTTTTAAATTTATCCCTCCAAATAAGTGTCATATCGATATCAGAAAACTTGTAAAATATTTGAACGTCGTTTTCTCATTTCCAGTTTTTTACAGATGGGACTGACTTGCGATTATGGGCAGTATTGGTCCCAAGCAAACGATTAACGTATCCCATTCTAGTCGAAATTCTACTACTACACAATGTTTGTTTTGATTCGCTATGAAAGTTTGACAAATAAAATGAGGGGTTATTGGTTTTTCCTATGTTTCGAGGGGTGAATCGATTAGCTTGGGACCGAAGAGAGTACCAGAGCTGAGCCAAAAAGTTGAGCTCGTTACTTCGGGACCTTCTGGTCTTAGAGTTACCTCTATGGTAGTATTGTTCTCAATGATGATAAAAGTGTTTAATTATTTTCACGGAATATTTGATTTCTGTTATTTATTTATTAATTCTTGATGTAATTAAATGCAACATTTATTAGTGATAAAAAAATTCGAATCGGATTGTTTTATCAAGTTTCATGGTAATAAAAATGATTTCGCTACAAGAAAAACAGTAAAATATGGACAAAATTTATACTGTCATGGAGCGACTGTTATCTCTCGTCTTCGCTTTATTTTTGCGCACTTCATTTTTATTCAGTTCCGGACGAACGTTCAAATTTTCTTAACAGCATTGTGGCACTGTATGTAAGTCATTTGAAGCCACTCAAAGAAACATGGTTGCCAGTGAGATTGCCAAAAGATCCCTCAAAAACCATGCTGCTGTTTCGACAGAAATTTTCATTGCGCGTCTCTATCAACGTTTTACGCATACGACATATATGCTTTTACGGAAACCTGGCTCAACTGCAACACACTTTCCACTCAGATTTTTGGACGTGTATTTACTGTTTTCCGTTCTGACAGCACAAACCTGACAAGTACTAAAAAATCTGGTGGAGGTGTGCTTTTGGCTGTTCGTTCCAACTACAAATGTCGCCTGCACTTCTGTCGAATAGGTATGGGTGGAACTTTTCGTCCCTGGCTTCACATTATTCATCTATTGGTCCCAAGCAAATCGATTAACGTACCCCATTCTAGTCAAAATTCTAGTACTACACTATGTTTGTTTTGATTCGCTTTGAAAGTTTGACAGATAAAATGAGGGGTTCGTGGATTTTCCTATGTTTCGAGGGGTGCATCGATTAGCTTGGGACCGAAGAGAGTACCAGAGCTGAGCCAAAAAGTTGAGCACGTTTCTTCGGGACCTGGTCTTAGAGTTACCTATATGCTCTCACATATTATCGCACCAATGCAACCGGACATGAAAATTTCGGTGAAAATCTCAATACTTGTGTAAGTTGACAGCACTTAACTGTTAAATCAGCAATGTTGACTGTTTGTCCAGCAAAACAGAAAGTGAATCATTTTGCTGGAAGGATCAAGGGAAGGACAGCAATAAATTTTCCGTTTGTCCTTTTGTCGAACCAGCAACATTCGAAATTCGACCTAACGGTGAGTACCCTCAGTCGTGATCAAAACAAGGAATCTGTCAAATTTTCGAGAGAATGAAAAGCTATCGACGAGATAGAAAACAACTCAAGCTAAACATTGCATTGAGTCCTAAGTAACATTGATCTATTCTAAACGTCGACTTTCTCTTTCGTTAATAACTTGAGCACATAACCGTTTCTTGGTGCGTGTTTGTCATATTGGATGCGAGATAAAAGCTTTTTTCATCGATCTGTGTACCTAGAATATCTGGGAATGTCTTTACATGGCGGTGGGGATACCAAGAGAAAGTTGACGAAGAAATCTGTCAGTCTTACTTAGGACCTAATGCAATGTTCAGCTTCAATTACTGCGTCTGATGGATCGATGAGAGCCAGAAAACAACCAACCAAAACATTCGAACGGACGACGACGAAACAAACGGGTGCAGTCAGCAAAATTCGCAATCACAAAAAAAGTTCAGACCAGCGCAGCAGTGCAAGTTTATTGTTTTGTTACGTCGCAAATTGTAATCGGTGTAGTTCCCTGGATTGTTTAAAAGTTCATTTGTAAACACAACAATATTAACTCCTCAAAGGTGCCATTGCGATTAACTTCTACGCAGAAGATTAAATTTGTATTCTACGAAAAAAAAAATTGCCTAGGAAAAAAAGGGGAGCAATCGTTTTGTTGAGTGAAAGTTGATAGTGCTGGGAAGATTCATCTGCAGCGAGAGGAAAACAGGAATGCGAAACAAATGCCATAAAGAAAATGAAAGTGCGTCAAGAATATGGTGATTAATTGATAGCGAAAAAACTTCCTTCTGTGGTTATTCAAGCTGTTCCGGAAGATAATCGAATTACCAAGAGTACAAGAGGAGTGCTGGGCATGTGTACGCCGACGGTATTGCAGGGTTGTTGTTCCCAATGGCGTAGCTGGATCCGACCATTCCTGGTCGTCGTGTATGTGCTATTTGTGATCATCGTTGTCCCATTTCTGATCGTCCTCTCGGTCAAGGATGGATTCACCCGGAAGGACCAGCTCAGCCTCATCGGTGGGCTGTTCGTCATTTCGGCCGTACCCATTTCGATCTGGCAAATTACACAACACGTTGTGCATTTTACGAAACCCATTTTGCAGAAACACATCATCAGGTAAGCTCCACCGCTGACGACGTGATTTATTGTACCCTCGCAGAGTCCGTTCCGTACTGTTGTTTGTTGTTGTCCGGATTGCTCGTATGGGACTTGCGTGGCGTGTTCCTGCTACTGTAGTGGTGAAGGTGGTAGGGGTTAACTAAAGCACTCTGGTAATAGTATAAACGAATGTCGCCACAAAGTTGTTCCAATCGAGCAATATAGTGCATTTTGACGGTGTTATTGGAACAGTTTTTGACAGACGTCCATACTTTTACTTAGAGGACTTTAGGGTTAACGTGATATTGGAATTTGATACGGAGTTGCCATCAACTGACACAAAGTGGGAAATCGTTAATTTACTAATGTTATAGCTCATTTCTTCCAGGTGAATGATTTTATGTACGATTCTTTAGCTTGCTTTCGATATCTGGTAATGCAAGCTAAGCGTGTCCACCGTCAGCACTGATAAGGCTTCTTGCCGTTTGATTTGACTGCATTTGTTGAAACGTGAACGTGCGCAATATCAGCATTTGTGGAATTATATTTGTCTCGTCCATAAGCAGTGCATCCCGTGCGTAACCAGAGTTGTACAGTAAATAAATAAAGCTTATCAACGTGGATGCATTCAAGCTTCTCTCGTTAGACAACAATTGGATTCTTAACTTTTAAATTTTAGCTCATATTTGTATAGATTGGATATTCTATACAATCTTTTGCACGATTCCACTCCTGAGGAATCTATAGCAAAATTACAGGCGCCAGTTGGCGGGGTCAAAGTTACTAGTACAATACCAATTGATAATGATTTACTGGCCCCCATAGTAATCTTTCGACTACGTTCAACCCAAGGGGAAGGCGGGGTATTTGTGGAGGTAGCAGCTAAAAAAGATGATTCATGTCTATGTTGATATGGTTCTAATTTTATGATGAGTTTTATTTGGAAGTTCCTATGAGTTTAAATTAACTGCTCTTTGACTTATCAGCTGTATTTTGTTTCGCCCAATGCAATGTGATGACGCTACCGCATACGCTACTGAGTTGAAGCCATGACCCTGGTAACATTGAAAGTATCGTTTCCTGGTGAGTGTGAGTCGAAGGAGGATTTATTCTGATGGTGATGTCGCAAATAACGCGTTAGCTTTTGTTTTACATTCTCTATTGACAGGCTCTAATGCTGGCTTATGTGAATGTGTAGCATGTAGCTATAGATTGGATCCCGCTCAGTACTACATATCAAGCTGCATGTAAATATTATCTGCATGTACACTAGGGTGGGTCAAGTTTGTATGGTGGATTACAACCCTCTGTTCCCAACTGCTCTTTCGACTTGTATTCAGGTCTTAACCATTTTCTTCCCAGAATGTTTTTCGTTGCTTTGAAATTCAAATCTGCTGTATAGTGCTAGAACAAAATATGCATGTCGATTTCCATACAAGATGGTCAACTTTGACATGATTTAACATATGATCAATTGAGCTGAAGCGTTCACCACAGAACTACAAATATGTTCAATTTTACGATTAAAAAATACCAAATTTTTTGAAGCACCTGTTGGAAAGTGAGACACTAGATAAAATTGTACAAAATAATAGCAGTTTTTGATTTGAATTTTTATGTACTGCAAATATTTTAAACATTTTTAACTATTATGTGCATTTGTTAATTTGGTGGGGATTGTTAGAATTTTGAGAAATGTAAAGTTTAAAATCTCAAAATTAAGCTGAAATGCAAATTATTAGTACTGCTATTATTTTGAACAATTTTACCTATTGTCTCACTTTCCGGCAGGTGCTTCCAAAAATTTGATATTTTGTAATCGTAAAATTGAACATATTTTTTGTAGTTCTGTGGCGAACTTTTCAGCTCAATTGATCTTAAGAGAACAAAGTTACAACTTATCACAGTTGACCATTTTGTATGGAAATCGGTATGCGCTGCTATTCTATTGAACACATGTGTAGATGTGACGCCCTCTTCGGATAATCCCATTTTTATAAACATGTTATTTTTGGTAAAACAACAACTTTATTTCCATAAACGATTTCAAGACAAAACAATCAATTTTAAGAGATCAGTAATAACCCGTTCACATTACAGCCTATATCACGTAATATAGGCTGTCGTGCAATGAGCACTCATACATAGGATTTCCAGTGAAAAATATACGTATGAGTGCTCATTGCAAGACAGCGTATATAACGTGATATACGCTGTAATGTGAACGGCCCTTAAAAGTTGAAGTTTAACAACAACTTGAGTCTAAGATAAAGTTTCAAACTCCAAGCCCAAGATGTAGAAACTTTTCCATGTGCGAAAATCTTAGAATTAGAAGAAAGCCTTTTGATTAATTTCCAGTTCGCAACCTTGAGTTTCAAAGTACGACATTTCAAATATTTTTGCTAGTTTTGGAACTTGAAAACAAGGATTGTATGACATTCCCCCGAAAGCCATTCCCCAGAACGGACTAAAGGGTGTCCACGATGAAATTGCCACACTATGAAATTGCTCTAACTTTTCAACCGTTGGGTAGAATTTAATGAAAATTTGGGTGGATTTAGTTCATAGTGCATTATTTACATCCTGCAAGTTTTAAAGTCCTGTGATCAAAACTCGCGGAATTGGAGTAGAAAGAACAGCTCGTGCGTGATAAAATCTTGCGCATTCATCACGAGAACAAGGATCTCTCGCATCGTTCCATCGCTAAAACGTTGGGAATCGTGAATTCCACGGTGTCGCGAGTGATTGAGCGGTTCGAGGAACGGTTGACCACCGATCGGAAGCCCAGAAGTGAAGGAAAAAGTATTCCGTACAACACCAAAAATCACAACCGCGTAGTTGGGGCCTTCAACCGAAATCCGAACGCCTCCGTTAGGGATGTGGCTAAGAAGCTGCACCTAAGCCGAAGTTTTGTCCAGAAGGCCAAAACTAAGGCTGGGCTTCGAACGTTCAAGGTACAAAAGGCCCCTAATGGCGACGAGAAGCAGAACAAGTCCGCCAAAACCCGTGCCAGGAAGTTGTACCTCAACATGCTGACGAAAGTTGAATGCTGCATCATGGACGACGAAACATATGTGAAGGCCGACTTCAAACAGATCCCCGGCAACCTGTTTTTCACGGCCAAGGATAAGTTCAGCGTTCCGGAGCATGTCCGCACTCAGAAGATGTCCAAATTTGCGAAGAAATTCCTAGTTTGGCAAGCCATCTGCACGTGCGGGAAGCGGAGTGCACCTTTCGTGACCCAGGACACGATGAACGGACAGGTGTACATAAAAGAGTGCCTCCAGAAGCGGCTGCTTCCTCTCCTGAAGGCCCACAACGTCCCAACAATCTTCTGGCCGGATTTGGCCTCATGCCACTACTCCAAGGACGTGCTGAAGTGGTATGCGGACAATAAGGTCAATTTCGTGCCGAAAATGTTCAACCCTCCCAACACTCCGGAGCTCCGCTCCATCGAGAAGTACTGGGCGATTATGAAGCAGCACCTTCTTAAACGACCTAAGGTAGTGAAGACAGTCGAGGAACTGAAGAAAGTATGGGTTTACATGCAAAAAACGGTTGATTCACAGGTTGTGCAGAATCTTATGGCCGGGGTTAAGGCCAAGGTGCGGGCATTTGCGTATGGACTGTAAATAAAATACGAGTAAAATGGTAAAATGAAGTTTAATAGTTATTTCTCAATCCCTGAAAATTTGATGGCAATCGGATGAAAACTCGAATTTTGCGAATCAATTTTGTGTGTGGCAATTTCATCGTGGACACCCTTTATTCCCAATAAAACCATTCCCCAGAATACACCATTCCCCAGAAAAGTATGCCATGTATTAGATTGACTATTTTTGTTTATTATAGTCACTCCTGGAATCTTCTTCCGCGTATATAAAAAGAATAGAAAAACTTCTTAATGGATCAAGGCGTTTTCCTTTTTTTGAAAATATAAGAAAAGGAAATAATTAATTCTTTAGATAAACGATAAAGATGGGAATATTCCCTTCTTATAATATATTAAAGAGAACATGATTAATTCGTTAAATATATGATAAAGAAGGGAATATTCACTTCTTTGAAAATATAACAAAAGGAAATAATTAATTCTTTGGATACACAATTAAGAAGGGAATATTCCCTTCTTTGAATATATAAAAAAAACATCATTAATTCGTTAAAAATATAATAAAGATAGGAATTTAAGAAAAGGAAATCATTAATTCTTTGGATATACGATAAAGAATGGAATACTCCCTACTTTAAATATGTAAATAATATGAAAAAGAAGGGAAAATATAACAAAAAAAAAAGAATTATTTGGATATACGATGAAGAAGGGAATATTCCCTTCTTTTAATATATAGAAGAGAACATCAGTAATTCGTTAAATATATGATAAAGAAGGGAATATTCCTTTCTTTGAATATATCCTTTCTTTGTTTTTTTTTTCGTCGATCTTGTTTTCCGTGCTGAGCACCAATGCTACCGACGTGCCAGGAAGGCAGCTCCCACACCTGGACCCTACCTATCGACCCATCAACTCATGAACCGGGGACCAACGGCTTTACTTCCCATCCGAAGGAAGGCATGATCAGAGATGATATGCCTCAGAACATCCCGGCGTCGCCGACTGGGATTGAACCCAGGCCTGCTGGGGTGAGAGGTAATCACGCTTACCACTGCACCACCGGCGCCGTTGTCTTTGAATATATAAAAGAGAAAATAGTTAATTCTTTGGATGTATGATAAAGAAGGGAATATTCCCTTCTTTTAATATATAAGGAAAATATATAATCAACAGCTTTTCGCAAGGGATTCGAGGTAATGACCATTTGGGATAATAACGAGTGGAATAATGTTATAAATTTGTAATCGGTAGTTCAACGTTCCATGCACCGATTTTTTAATCCATCACGAGAAATTCTTCAACTCAGGTCGAACAATTCTTCGATAAGGTTTAACAGTTTCCCACTGGTTGAATTGGATTGCATAATAGACCCTTTGACTTATTAAATGATGAACGAAGTGCT